CTACGGGCTGGACGACCGGGGTTCGATCCCCGACTGGGGCAGAGGATTTTTCCTCTAGCCTCTGCGTCCAGACCGGCTCTGGGGCCCACCCAGCCTCCTCTACAATGGGTACCGGGGGTCCTTTCCCGGGGGTAAAGCCGGCCGGGGCGTGATGCTGACCACTCACCCCCATCTAGTGCCGAGGTCAGGGAAGGGAGGAGCTATACCTCCACTCACCCCAAGCGCCTACGTGGCGTATAGTGGGACAAACTTTACTTTACTTATCATTCCTCCTCTACAAGGATTGCTGTCTGACTGTCAAGCCCTTCCCACATGACATTAGACATTATTCTACCATTAAAATGTACGCAAGTCTTTGCAACTTCGTAGATATCTCAACAGGCCTCGGGGATTTGCGATAGGTCATTCCCTTGAAAATCTGTCCTCTCCAGAAATAAAATGTCTTTCCTGGTATCACGTTTTCGTTTTTCGATTAAATTTAGTGACAATTATATGGCATACTACAGTCGCCAGTTTGCTACTGACGATTAAATTTAGTGACAATTATATGGCGTACTACAGTCGCCAGTTTGCCTGCATTGCTACTGAATTGCCTTCTATTTCTGCAGATAATTGCATTAATTTCCTCTGTTTGCCTCATCTCCTTTATGCATCGCTTATTTTGTCATTCAATCACTACGCCGGCTGTTAAAATATGTAATGCAGTACGCGAACATTCACGCTTCTTATGTGCCCTTAGAAAAATTATCTGAGGTTTGTCCTCGTGATAACCCATCACATTTCACGGAACTAATCGACATGGACCTTTCTTATTATAGCCCGTGATCTGAGTTCTCGACTTTGACAGCTTTTATAACGCAGTCAGTTACAAGGTCTCTTTTTATTATTCTGTTCATACATTTGGCATTTCTATTCTTTCGCTAAGATGCCCGCTGTTGATTCTGAGAGAGCTGTACCAATGACGTGGTGACGTTTTCAGGCTACTGTTTGCTCCGGATGCTTAACCACACACTGGGGCAAGAGACCTTCTTGCGAGGTTGCGGACGCTACGTCAGGCGACATAAATTCGGCTCCGTGGACCAACTTGACCTCTGGGAGGAGTTGAACGCGCAGGCCCATGAAGACGGGTCCCTTGCTCCAGGACTGGACCTCGGTCGTCTCATGGCCGGATGGACTTCACGTCCAGGGTTCCCCGTCATCGCTGTGACGAGGAATTACTCGGCTGGAAATGCAATCGTCACTCAGGTGTGTTCCTGGTACAATGCACCCTCGTGAGTGTTGATTTCAGTACTTCAACACTTGATTCAGACATGAACACTGGTATGCCAGTCGGCTCTGTGTAATGGCGGTGTCTGTCGGGCAGGCGCGGTTTCAGCGACCCTTGGCAGTCGAGGAGGCGCGCGGAGGGCAGACCGATGTGTGGTGGGTGCCCATCACCTACACGTCACAGCCAGAGCTTGGTTTTAGTTCGACGCATTCACGTCTCTGGGTAGACCCTGAGCACAAGCAAACAAACCTCACTGACATGCCGGGACCTGAGCACTGGGTGATTTTCAACGTTCAGGCTGCAGGTCAGAAGCGGATGTAACTTCTATTTGCCTTTCACGGCAACACACGTTTCACAAAACAGCTGAAGGTTCTGAGAACGAAAACTAACTAACTAACTAACTAGATGGCTTACCGAACCCGAAGGTTCATCACCGAATTAACCAAAGCCCTCCACCGGACCAACAAAATCCAGTCTCCTTCAACTCCTATCTCCCATAGATCCCGCCTGAGATTATCCTCCCATCTACGTCTAGGTCTTTCCAGCGGTCTCTTCCCCTCAGGGTTCCCAACCAACACCCGGTGCACTCCTCTTGTCCCATCCATGCGCGAGAACGAAAACTGGCAGAACAAATTCATTTTCAGGTTCCCTCGGATTTCAAACCAAAACCATTCTCCATTACGAAACGCATATTTGGAACTGGAGCGCCGTGCCTCGTGGACTATTTATGCTGACGGGTTTAGTGTTGGTTGAAGTCCCTGCTGAGTCCTCACAAAGGGATTGCTGCTCTTGGGTGAAGGCTCTAATTAGGCAAATTGTGCTTCAGTTTTGGACACTAATCGTGTCGACTTTTCCGTTTCGACTGGACTAGGTTATCCATAAGTGCCTTCCTGCCTTCGAAATTACCGGACTAGGGGTTACCCGAAGCAGCTACTTTGAGTAGAAACTCTCTGTCATTGGTCTGAGCAGTGAACCTCCAGGTCGGACATCTGCAATCCATCATCGGGCGCGTGAGCTTCTTGTAGTGCAGAAGACCGTTTCTGACAGAAATGCCGCGTTACTCATTGAGAATTAACCATAACACACTCAGTCTTTGAGATGCATTTCTTCCTGTAATCCGCGAATGTAATCTTGAGACTTGCGGGTCGAAGGAGGAAGGATTACAGATGGCGTCTGCCTTTAACGCTTCGGACTTCCTGCATTCCTTGTAAGTCTCAAGATTACAGTCGCGAACTGTACTTCTTTGACGTCTGTTGAGCAGGTCAGTTGTTTATCAAGAGTCGTCCGAAGATACGGTAGTATCTTTCAGATGAAGCATTCTGAACAAAGTACCTCTTCGTTCAGAATGCTTAACAAAAATCGACAGTATTCTGAACAAAGTACCTCTTCGTTCAGGATGCTTAATAAAAATCGACGGTTCAAGGCATCCGTGACTGACGTCAACAAAATGTTTATCAGTCAGCTGAATAAGTACTGACTACTTAAGTATTAGGACTGGCGTGTTGGTCAATTGTGAAATGCACCAACAAAGTCAGGAAAATGGAAAATTTCCGTCGGATTCAAGGCATCCGTGACTGACGTCAACAAAATGTTTATCAGTCAGCTGAATAAGTACTGACTACTTAAGTATTAGGACTGGCGTGTTGGTAAATGTAATAACCCAAAATGCACCAACAAAGTCAGGAAAATTGAAAATGCCCGTCGGGGAATTGAAGCAAGGGTTGGCCAAAGTTGGACAACGACTAATTTCATATTTATTTGAATTTTCCATTCCGGAATTCCACCCAACATTTACCGGGCTCTGTCCTCCTCAGCCGAACTAAAGTGAATGGCGAAAACTCCGAACTCTTCCAGGTATGTACAGAGTGAATTACGACCTCAAGAACTGGCAGCTGATTTCCGATTTCATGAGAAGCGACCGATACGAAGACGTGCCGGTGCTTAACCGCGCGCTGTTACTGGACGACGCGTTGAACCTCGCAGGAATTGGCATGCTGCCCTATCACGTGGCGCTGGAAGTAACCAGCTACCTACGTCGTGAGTCCCACTATCTGCCCTGGAAGGCCGCTCTCGGCAACCTCGGCTACATCGGTCGGATGTTCCGTCTCACGGATGCACTCGCCAGCTACAAGGTCGGTCTTGCCATTGCTGTCTCAAATTATTCTGAAGAATGCGTAATCTCAAAAACATTCAATACGTGTCATTCGGGATGGTCACAACATCCTTTACTTATATATTTATTTTGTACAGTCCATACACAAACGTTGAAGTTAAATGATGTTGTTAAAATTATATAATATTAAAACATTACGTAGTATAAAATATTATATTTCGGCGCTTTTAATCGTAAATACGATTTTAAATTATTTAGCTCTTTTTTATTTATTAAACGACATGTTTCGATGGATAATACCTCATCTTCAGGTTTATATCAATTTTTACAATATTTTAAAATTATTAGATATTTTAATGCAATGTATTATATTGATTTGTGGTTTGTTTGTAGATTTTCTATTTCCACAAATCAATATAATACATTGCATTAAAATATCTAATAATTTTAAAATATTGTAAAAATTGATATAAACCTGAAGATGAAGTATTATCCATCGAAACATTTCGTTTAATAAATAAAAAAAAAACGCTGAATAATGTAAAATCGTATTTACGATTAAAAGCGCCGAAATATAATATTTTATACTACGTAATGTTTTAATATTATATAATTTTAACAACATCATTTAACTTCAACGTTTGTGTATGTACTGTAAAAATAAATATATATTTAATCAAACACAAACATGACGCATTTAAGCTACAAATCCTTTACTTATTTGTTATTAAAACGTAAAACGCGTATAATACAGGGTGTGGCATTTTACAGCGTTTCATTCTATACTTGATCGAGCCGCAGTTACGAAACCTCAACATCGATTCACACCAAAACGACAGCTACCTGAAGACCTCGCACCAGAAGGAGATCATGAGGTGGGCGTGCCTTACCGGGCATCCGGCGTGTCTACACAACGCCACGACACTGTTCAAGACCTGGATGGTCGGAAATTTCAATCCGTGAGTCAGGTTTAAAAGTATGATTCACGCTAATTTCTCGCCAAAATAACCAACTCTGAATCAATTATGACCTACTAATCGTTGAGAGTCGATGCACTTGCAGAGGATTAAGAAACCAGAAAGAAGGGTTAATTATTTTTTCGTTTAGACAATTTGTTTATTAATATTCCTGTAAGATATAAGATATTGTAGATGCGTCATATTGTGATTTATAGTATTAAAATATATATTAAAATTATCCGTCAATCACAATATAAAATAATTAAAGGTTAAAATATCATTTTACGTTCCCTATCGAGTACTCGATTTACATGTGGAACATACACGACATGTTTCGGCTCTATAATAATAATAATAATATAATATAATAATAATATTCCTGTAGCTAAACTTCTGGAAGGTTCATGGCAAACCTACCATTACCCTTCCATAAAAACAACGAGGTCATCATATAACCGAAGCAGCCAGACTTTGGCAGAAGGATTGCGTCGCGTTGATTTGTCTCGATGGCAATGCAGGATGACGTCCCCAATCCTTCCACCTCGGTAACCCAACCTTGTCTTCTACACGTGGACTACGCTTGTGGCTTGTCTGTAAATTTACCTACATCAAATTTGCTAACGTGTGTCTGTCTGATACAGCGTGCCGCAAAGTCTGAGCACCGTTCTATACTGCACAGCCATTGAACAAGGCGGTCTTGAGCAGTGGAAGTTCTTGTGGACGCAATATAAGACTTCCGCCATTGCTGTGTCGGAGAAGAAGGGTGCTCTGAAGGCCCTCGGCTGCTCCCAGAACACGGACATCCTCGAACAGTGAGTCACTCACGATATTTCTAATTGCATCTGGTGGAGGCCTCTCGGTTTCCTTACAAATGAATTCCTGCCTTAGGCAGTTTACATTCGCATTTCTTATGCCAATTCCGATACGCCACATCCTTTCTCCCGACAAAATGAACGGACTTTGCACATTTCCGTCGATAAACACAGTTTCTGCAGTGAAACTAGACAATCACTGATATCTCATAACACTGAGATTCAATGCGTTGCTAACCTGGACCACCTCCATTTATCCTGTCATTAAATATTTCTATAAGAATTTTTTTTAATATTATTATTTCAAATTTGCGTCTGCCCCTAAAAATTATCTTTTCATAAACGTTTATCAGTGCCATGTTTTTTCTACAATCCTTCTCCTGCCTTGCTTGTTTAAACGTGACGCATAGACCAGTCCTTATTAAATAGAAATTATATATAAAATATTCTCTCTCATTATTATTATTTAGTGTTCTGTCTGACGACAGGTCCATATGAACAGGATCCTCCATCCTTTTCTCGGACTGGGACCTGTTCATATACGTTCTTGGCAGATGATCCAGAAGTGGTTTGCCATTGCCTTCTTCTGTGTGTGAATGGAGTAATTGTTGGGATGCCACGGAGGAAAACTCCGTGTTGCCTAGACCACGGCCTTGCCCAACACAAGTTATAAATTCGGGCACCGCCGGGAATCGAACCCGAGGCCAGCGTTCTAACCGCTAGACCACCGTGGCTTCAAACGTTGACAGATTAAGCGAACATAAATCGTGCAATCGTCCATTTTAGAGTCTGCCACGTCATATGGAGTTGCAAATAGATACCAATGTTTAGGAGAAACATTCTGTCTCCATCTTCAGGGGTGAAGTGAACCTTTGAAGATGAAGACAATCTGTTTCTCGGAATTGCTGGGAACCTACAAGTCCACATCCGATAGACCAACATCGACATCTTGATGGCAGTCGAAACCCTGAATGTCTTACGTTCAATTTGCCTTGGTGTTACAGGTACCTGCGGTGGTCAGTACAAATAGGTTCAGGTTTGAAACCTGGGGACAGCGTCGCCGTGTTTAAGGCCGTCGCATCAACTGACACTGGCTTCAATGTCGCCAAGGAATTCTTGATCAACAATCCAGACAGCATCGAGAAGGCGTACGTTGTGTCTTAATGGCCGCTGAAACTATTAAGTTCCACAAACGTTTGACTCACGGCCCTTTTATGTGGAGTAGCTTCGTTACTTCAAGTAGTCAGGGCAAGATCTTAAGAAAATAGCTTCGGCTTAGCTTAGTTTCCTTGTTTCTGGGATTAAACAATGCAAAAATTTGTAGAGGGTGATCTATTTTTTAAAATTACATAGACTTATCAACGAACTGCATAATGACGAGCTTAAAAATCTGTACTGCTCCCCCAGTATTGTCAGGGTGATTAATTCGAGAAGAATGAGATGGGCTGGGCATGTAGTGTGCATGGATGGGACAAGAGGTGTGCCCCGGGTGTTGGTTGGGAAGCCTGAGGGGAAGAGACCGCTGGGGAGACCTAGACGTAGATGGGAGGATAATCTCAGGCGGGATCTATGGGAGATAGGAGTTGAAGAACACTGGATTTTGTTGGCCCAGGACAGGGTCTGGTGGAGGGCTTTGGTTAATTCGGTGATGAACCTTCGGTTTCCCTAAGCCATCTGGTTGGTTGGGTCCACTATTTGGGAAGCCTGAGGGGAAGAGACCGCTGGGGAGACCTAGACGTAGATGGGAGGATAATCTCAGGCGGGATCTATGGGAGATAGGAGTTGAAGGAGACTGGATTTTGTTGGTCCAGGACAGGGTCCGGTGGAGGGCTTTGATTAATTTGGTGATGAACCTTCCGGTTCCCTAAGCCATCTAGTTAGTTATTCAGTTAGGCTTATCAACGTTCAAATCTTTTACTCTTAGAGGGCATGCGCAAGGTACAGCCAGAGACGAACTTCCATGCCATCTATCAACCATTCGTTACACTTATAAAGAGAAACTTAGTTGGCTGATTGCCTATCTCATAAAATACAGTGGTTATTAGATTGTAATATATATAATTCATCTGCAGTTCGTCTGAGATCAGAAGTCCAGAGTCTGCCTCGATGATATTTTCTGAAAAAGAAATTTCAAAATTGAACTTTCTGTTTGCTCCCGCGTAAAATCTGGAAATCAGGTGCGATAAGCATCCGACCATATGACACACTTTCTGTGTGTTTCAGCGTCGGCCCGTCTCGCCTCGTGGACATGCTGAAGGTCATCGGGACCAGAATGAACCAGGCCGCGCACCTCAAGCAGGTATTTTATAACTGCATTTTTCTTCAATTATTTCCATCTAGTCTACAACATCTGCGAAACCCATTTCTGCTATTTTCAGCTGAACTATGTCTCTCTGGCAGTGTCCAGCTTTCTTTCTGTTCACACTTCTTCATTTCATGAAATTCGGTGCCCTGCCTTCTCAGACTTGTTTCGCTCCTTTTCTGGTTTCCTCTTCACAGATATCAGTGAGAAAATATTCAGCAACGCGTGATTCAATTGTTCTAGCTACTAATTCGTATAAACCCGTTCTAAAACTGACAGGGCATGTAATTTGTAGTACTGATGAATTATAAATCCAACAATCCCACAAACAAACATTACACATGATAAATGTGAACTATATAAGTAAGATATTTGGAATAATTTTTCTCGTCATTCGTTGTTATAAACTACAAATATTTTTCAATGCGAGTCCTTAGTGGGTAAGAGTTGCAGTTAATCAATAAATTGAGACAGCTGTGAATTGCAATAACAGACGATGGTTGAAATCCATAAACACAGTTACACAATTCTGAAGTGTCTGCTTCTAAACCTTTGACTTAATTTTACACAATAATTCTGGGAAGTCGTAGACAAATATTATGTCATCGAATTAATGTACAATAACGCACATGTCAGTCCAATGATCACTTATTTCAGGATTACAAATGTTCTGAGTAAATATTTCCAGTACTCGTCAGTGATGTCAACACAACTCTGGACACTGATTATCCCTTTCACAGACCCATAAGAAGTGAGAAGACAAGGGAATAAATAAGTGATAAGAAAGAGTGGAATTTTGTTTTATTCTGCAATTAATTTTGTGTTTGTCAATCATTATCTTCTGGGCTCTAAAGTCAAGTTGTCTGGAAGATGGGGTTTCCATTGTTACCAGAAATTATCAATATCTTCACCATTGTGATAACCTCAAACCTCAGAAAGTTTCTTCTATTTGCAGTTGGAAGAGTTTCTAAGTCAGAACACGCAGAAACTGGAGCCTTTGAGACGTACAGTAAGTAAGGTGACTGAGAGAGTCAGATACAACATTCAATGGATGGAAAGTAACTACAAAGAAATTCACTCATGGCTACAAGAGAGAGAGAAGAACTTCCATTACAGGAGCAACGCAGATAGAGGCTGACATTAAGGAGGCTTCAGCACAACTGCAAGGAGCGAGAGTTAGAACCACTGAGAGAGTGGCCAGGCAGGCGAGGACACTACATTTCCCAGTGAACCCCACCCTAGTGGAATTTACAGCAATCCCAACACAAATTCCTCATCGGAATACAAAACACATACTCCTTACAAAATCCACTTCATTTGTTTTTTTGTCAAAGAACTTCCACACATGTCAAGTATTTCCCCAACCAAATTGAAGTTTAAAATCTTGTTCTTATTACAAAAATTTGTGATACCATCAAAATTCCAATATTCTTTTATCAACAAATTGTACTGTGGTACATTCAATTATAATTTCGATATTTACTAATACATATATCAACGAATTAATTCAAACTTCCTGATAATTGGGGTAGAAGAAGTGCCTGAGACGTCGGTGAGTTTTGTCCCTTCAAGAAAGCCGGCATACTAAGAGGATTTTATTAATTCCGTTTGTCGTGTAAGTTTTAGATCAAGTGTGCACGTGTTCTTTACAAGCCAATCCAAATGCTCCTGCATGTTCCAAACAGCTTTGGCAAAAACGCAAAAGCATTACTAAAAAAGAAAAATTACAACCCAATTTATACAATTTCCACCAACACTAAAAATGCATGACATTAAATTTTAACCCTGTGGAGCCAAAGCCCAACTAAATTATATTTAAAAAATAATTTCTTATCTCAAAGAAAACACAACATGTCTCCATTACAAAGAATAATTCCTTAATGGTATTTGAGGACATGATTGCTGCTTAATCTGAGATGCAAAACTTACCAGTTACTGTTGTTAAAACAGGTGGTATATGTAGTTACCACTGGGCTCTAAAGAGTTGACGTAAAGTCTCGTATTTCTGGTCTTGTGTTCCATTTGTTTTTCAGAAACTTTGTTTACTCAACAGCACAATTTAAAATGGAGGACCTTGACTTTATGTTCATATATTGGAAATTATACATTCAGTACATGCAACACACGCAACATAAAATTTCCCTTAATTTCTTAATTCTGGAGAAAATTGTTCACAAAAGTCTATATTAATAACGCAAAAAACTTGTAACATAAAATTTATAAATTATGTAATTTTAATGTGAAATTTAGGTAATATGAGCAATAATGCCCTAGACTTGTACACATAAGGTCATGAGATCAAACCCTGGTTAAATCAGAATTTTTTATTGCCTGAAATTTTTAAATACGTTACAGATTATTATTACTATGATTAGTATTTTGTTTTTTTTGGGAAGATATTTCACTTTAGTACAGAGCATGTCAGACATAACCTAAATGACTTTCACCAAAGCCATGTTTAGATTTTTGACATATAAAGAATATTTCCTACAGCATTTGTAGGCATGTTTATGATCTCTTTACAGACAAAATTTCAGATGCCTAGCTCCAATAGTTACTGCATCAAACCAAAACTTTGACAAAGATCAGTCCTACACGTACCATAAAAAACAAAGGATAAAAGGCGATGATAAAAAAGTATCATCATGGCAACTTGCAATAGAGACCTAAAGGAACAGGATTTCATTCTAATTGAAGCATTTAATAAGCACAAATGTGACAGGTGAATCAGTACATTAAAATAACGTAAGTGTTGCTCTAGTGACGACAAGATGTAATACAGAATGTGTTGCGTAAAAATAACAGAATATCTTTTAGACCTGACAAAGCTGAGCCCTATAGCCGTATGCAACACATAATTTTCACAGATTTTATTTTTTGGAGGAGGGAGTAGAAAGGGAATGAGGATAATTCTCTTCACTGCTAAATATCATTCTGGTTAACCTTTGAACTGACAAATACATGATATGTTTATCACTTAGGAGTCACACATATGTAATATCAAAGTAATAATAATCATACTTATCACTAAAAAAAAATTGAGTTAATTACACAACATAAAGGCTTTTCATAATCTTAGTGCAACGACGCATCTTAAAGGGATTATATGACCCATTTAACCTTTTAGGTACCTAGCGACCTGATCTGTCAGCAACCCAGGGTTGTGGTAAAAGTGTCACTAACCAGCCACTTTCTTCACACACTAGCGATTCCCATTTTATATATAACATGGCGGTTCTATTCGATTCAGGCTGGCAAACAGAATACTTTGATCTGCGTTACCTGGCCTGGCTCTACATAGCATACAATACACTGAATATTATAGTCACCTAATTACAGTAAAATCAGAGAAAATATAAAACTGCATTTTAAAACACCAAAAACGCAATGAAGTCCGTTCACCGCCTCCAGCTTCCGCAAAGTGTCGACAGATTTATAACCAAGAATTCCCAACACACAAGTAAAGTCACAAGTCTATAAATAATCAAAGAATGCGTAAGCGCACAAAAAACTTAAGTGACTCTCCAAAGGACAGAAGAAAGAGGAGTTTAAGGAGAACCAAGAATTCTGAGAGCTCTTTATTATGAATTATTTAAAAGTAAACATTATATGCTAGCAAATATTATGAACCAACTTCAATGAATTTCCATTTTCTTCTTCTATCATCTTGAAAAACTTATATGATATATCCCCAATGTGATAACAGATGACAAATATCATCACGAACAATTTGCCCGTGAAACACCTGTACAAGAACGAGGCCTTAACGCTGAAATCGGTAAGAACTTGTAGACTGCAAGCGACACTAATTCACTTACTCCACAAAAGCAAACAAATGCTTCATCCGCGTCATGACAAATAATTCTCAGCGTGCGGCCTGGTCAGACGTGCACTATTTTTATGAAAGGCCTTCTTTCGTTCCTGCCAAATCTCACCACTCAACAATTTGTACCCATTTTTTTCTTTCTTTATGAAAAAAGGTCATATTTCACTGGAATGTGGAGCTGTAGGAAATTTTAAAGAGAGAAAACACAGCATACAGCGATCTACACTTCACATCATTCTCGCCGCACGTTTCAGTGTTTCAGTATTACGCAGAATGTTCTGCACAGAGGCAGTGACTAAGTTTAGTTCCTCAGCAATAGCAATTGTACATGGCCAGTGCTGCAATCTATTAGATGTCTAATAAAAATAAATGCATAACACATACATAATTAAAGGAACAAAATTTTGCTGTGTACTTTTTGTTTCAGATGTGTTCAACGTGCAGACATATTGATGTGACAAAACATTTTCCGGCTTACAGTAGTTTTATAATCTTAATATTTTCTGAATCTTCTACGCAAGTTTCTCACAACTGCAAAATGTGAAGCAGTCAAACTTTCTTTCCATATGAGTCGTGATAGCCCATTTCTGCCATGGCAGGACAAGAAATTTTTTCCTCAAAACTGCACCCAGGATGCCTTTGGGCCCCAACTGGTACTGGGAGGTAATGGTGAAAGTAGTTTGGAATTCACGGATGCATCAAACGTGATATTTGCTCCGCCACAACTCATATGGAAAGAAAGTTTGACTGCAGATCACTTTAAGTTTGCCACATCAACAAAATGCAACCTCGATAAAGTAGGATTTATAACATTCAGAAAAATACTCATTCTAATAGGTACTCAAAAAATCTGAAAACTGAAAAACATAATCTTCAAGTCCATCCCCTAACTTCTAATTGCATATAAAATATTACAATATGGCACTAAAATTCAAATGTGGTCATGGAAATATTTATTTGATAATGTAGCTACAGTGGAGATGTATAATGAATAATTCTGCATTCTCTACATCTTCATGGAAAAGTTTAAGATGTCCTCATAACCTAATATACTCACAAGTGACAACGGAATGCAACAAGTTCTTTACAAGACAGACCTACCCCCTACTTGCTGTGCGCTCTCAAGTCCCACCAGAAGTCCACCCACATGGTCAATGCACACGACAGTACAAACATGAAGACACGTATGGACATGGGTTTGATCGGGACCGCGATATTTAACGCTCCTGCTGTGACCCCCTTTTTGCGAGATGATGATGAAAATGGAGTAATTGTTGGGATGACACGGAGAAACCCTGGAGGAAAACTCCGTGATGCCTGGACCACGGCCTTGCCCAACACAAGTTGTAAATCTGAGCACCGCCGGGAATCGAACCCGAGAGCCCAGTATTACAAGCCCAGCGTTCTAACCGCTAGACAACCGTGGCGGTTGCTGAAGTTGAAAGATTCTCCGGCTGTAAGCCGCCTGACGCGGCTTGTGGCCCGAGAATCTTTCATCATACTACTTTAAGCTTCATACTTAAGTCTGAGCATCCCATTTTGATGTTGGCATACAATTAGACTTAGTAAAATCTAAAAAGTTTCCAACTTACAATCACCAGCCAAGCATCAAAATACACAATAAAACACACATTTCAAGCTGTCTTTGCTGCAGAATACACTAAAAGGCAGCGTCACATGACATGTCACTGGTACGTGCTCTGGTGTGACACCGGTCACTGTGGGTCCAGGCACCGGCCAGAGCATATAATTTAGACTTGTCGGAAGAAAGTTACATTTCCTCACATGGCTGTCTTCTGGGTTCTGAGTAGTTGCCTTGATGATGGAGGCAGCACAGACTTCTGAAATGTCGGTAAACTTCCACCAGACTACGTGAACAACCCAGAAGGCGGCTATCTTCGGACTCACCGCCGTGAAAACCGAAAATCCTACTTACATTACCTCCTTCCATGTTATTGGCATCACATCAAAGAGTGGTGAAACCAACTGCCAAAATTTAAATCCAGGAGAAATAACGTAGGCGGGCAGGAGAAAATGAAAATAAATTTCTTTATCACGGCACAGAATGTGATCTGATGAACAAAGTGATGGACCTTTGGGTTTCATGGGAGGTCATAATGTCTTCACCAACTGAGTAACTAACAATTTCCTGAGATGGACTCTGATGGAAGTAGTAAGTTCACAGTTGGGTCCAGCGATAAAAACTATGGAATGTAAAAGTCATATAGCACACAGTAAGACCTGCTTCTGTGAGAAATAGATGATTCACTGATAAATGGTGTCTGAAAACAAACAAGAGGACATGATCATCTCCTCCACCATGATTTACTCATCCAGCTCGTTCTGTTTCCCTTCTTAACGACGGAGTCTCTCCATTTCAAAAAAATTTTTGTCGTTAACAGGTATATTTAGTGACACGTTTAGTTATGTATTACTAAATTTAGTAATCTGCTGGAATCTTGAGTTGTTATTTTGGATTGATCTAGTTTTTTTAAACAAACTTGACAACACACTGTATAACACATTAACATGTCTGAAGGCAATGAATGTGTCCAACAATTTGGATGTTTCAAGTGCCACATGAGGAACTTTACTAAAATAATACCAACATGGAACTGGAACTATTACCACCAAACCTGAATATCATAAATATAAAAGCACACTAACGAGGAGCAAGCTGAACTTTCGAGCCTGATGACACTGTTAAATGTGATTTCTTTCATTGGCAAGCCTGCAACGCCATTTTCCCGATTTCTTGAATTACATATTTTGCATAGAAAACTCAAATCACAGAAGTACTGTTGCACTGGAGAGATACCATGCAGTTTTAAGAGATCACGGTCAGATAAGATCATAGAAGTTCCCAAGTTTTAACACCACTTTAAAACTTACAAATGCACAAAATAAACACAAACACAATTGGAATTATGAAGTCTGCCATATGCAGCTTCCACGTGTTCATCGTCCTGCGGCCTTACGTATTGCAGCGACGACTCATGAAAAATTTAAATGCCCATATACGTATCATACTTACATATTTTACAACCAGAAAAATAAACGCATACTGAAACACTGAACGTACCCACAATTGAACTGGAAGCAGTTTGGTGTACCCTAATAACAAAATAGGCAATAAAATGGCTAGTTAATTGCTTTCCTTTCTTTAAAAATAAACCGAAAGCAGAAAACTCTTGTAATTATTGCACCCATTCAAAGATTCATGATGCAACAATTCCATCAACTGCATTGCTAGGAACTAGTTAATATTAGTTTCTTATAGTAATACAAATACCCGACAACTTCCAATAATAATAGTAATAATCATGAGGGCACACAAATGAAAGACCATCAATACACAGGCTTATCTGCGGCAGGCAGATAAATCTCCACTCACTACCTGAAATTAAAGACACACAGTACTTTATAGGTGGTCCAGAGACAGCTTCATAATCAGCAGCACTTACGACATCGGTCTTTCTTCAGATATACTATTCCGGTCATCAGATAAGACGACAGAAAGCAATTTATGTCTACATCTGAGACATGTACGGACACTTACAACTACTGTTACTGCAACTAAAACGTTTACATTTATCTCAAATGAATTCTATTCTTCTGCCGACGAAAATATCAGCGAACGAAGCAGACGCAGGACGCCACATCAAAGAACTGGTCCAGGAATGACTATCATATAAAGAAGAATGGCAGACAAGTATATAACTCCTTTACACATTATCATGTGCTCATATGGAATACTGATCAAACGACATACAATACCTTGTGAGTAATAAGCATCATAAACTTCTAAAGTTCTTAAGTTTTGCAATAAATTTCTCATTTTTGCACGTGCAAACATCTCAAAGAGTTTTTAAATACTGCACCAGGCCAAATGAGTATTAAAATGTTTCTTTAAAAAGTATGTAACTGGCCGATTTCAGGGCTGAAACCCCCATACAAACCAAACCCGACGAAGCTCAAACTGGAACAAATGCCGATGAATTCCAAGAACAATAGCAGTCCCGCTGGCCGCGTTGCACCATGCTTCTTTGACAGTAACTGCGATCTTAATCAACATATGTACACTAAGTTGCTAGATCAACCCACCAGAAATCATGGGCACTTCGAATAGAACAACAGGTATGGTGTTAGGGCAGAACTCTTCGATGGTTTTGGCGCCAGAACGTCTTCAAACTCTTTCCTCGTTAGCAACCGGACAGTCTCGTCGTCGCATTCAAGCCAAACTGGCTCTGGTACCGACGTATCGACGACAGCCACAGACACGCCGATATCCAAACCGTTCATCTGAGATTTTTGAATCGTGGGATCTGCCCCATTCATGAGAGAACGGTTCAACCTAACACCGCAGCAATCCATGCTCCTACATGTGTGCCTGTAATACACGCCATTTCCCGTGCTGTGGTGCTGTTTGTTTGGAACATCCGCATTATTGCTGTTAGAGGACCTGGGCCTGAAGAACTTGAGGATGCTCCCCATCTTGTCTCCCGAGGAATTGCTCCCAGTCTTTCCCCCAGCACTGGCGCTGCTCAGGCTTGAAGATTTCCTCTTATCTCGGTCGCAATGGTAGTAGTCGCACACATTCTCCGACGCCTTCACATATGCAACATAATGGCCCGAAGCAATGGTAGCACCCAGGTGCATGATTACTCCGAACAGCTCGTAGCGGTGAGGACGCTGGTCTTCTGCGATGGGGCAGCACTGCTCACAGAAACAGGCAAGCGTGAGAGGAGTGGGCATGTAGTCATTGACTTTCGACATGCACACCATGGACCTGAAAACCAAAATTAGGTGAAACAACTGACCTGCAACAATTGTAAAATAAAAAATAAAAAACTACAGCCGTCACATTATCATTCTATAACAAACAATAAGCAGGCTTATGTGGAACAGTGGTTAAGACAGTAACTACATAATATTCCTCAGGCAACTGAGTTTTTAAAGTTGATGACGGAGGCAGTATGACCTCTGAAACGTTATTCAGAGAATTAATTTTATGAAGCTGGAAGGTTTATCACCATCATCAAGCAAACCCGTAATCTAACCCTTTAACTGAGCTTGTAGAATCCAGTTTAAATCACTGCAACCCACAGTAAAACCTAGCATTTACATTCCTTGAGTGAATGTTTTCTCATAATTTACATAATCTTCTCTCAGTCCCATTAATTTCCTTGCCATTTTGATTGCTTTATTTCCACGAAATGCACATAATTTAATTTCAATTTCATGTCTTTTATACCACTTTTTGTGACTTGCCAAATTTTCTTCTTCTCTGACAAGTTAGTCATTATCTTGCACGCACGTTTTAAACTTTCAACGTGTGACCGATTTAAAATAGCTGTTATTATTTAATCCGTAATCTTATTTGAACTTGCAAAAGGAAAGGAAAAAAAACCACTTCTTTAACAAGAAAAATCAACACACTAAGAGACATTTACGGGCACATGGGATCACATTTCCCTGGTGAAACAACTTTAATTAACAACACCTTTGAATAAGAAAGTCAAAAACTCTTTTGCCACTGAAGAAAATGCAGGTAGCGCGCAACATGTCAGAGCAGTTTTCTTTATTCTGTGCAAATATCTTCGTTGGCTACCATTTTAGGGTTCCTGCAGGGCCTTCTCAATTTCAAAATCCCATCATTCTACCACGCGGACCTCTGCCTGAGATTACCACACCCTCCCACTGTGTGGACACTGAATTGAGAGGGGAAAAGAAAATGGCAAGTTGTAAAATTAGAACTGAGAGAAACTAGGAGTTTACTGGATATTAGAAACATTAGGCATGAAACAATTACAATCGTTACGGATGTGTTAAGAGAACAGACATAAATACAACATCTATAAGAGCACAAAAATTCCAAGTGAATGCCAAAAGGTCTACAGAACTACATGACTGGGATGGAAAACACAAGAACCTAACAACATTAAAGGCAGAGGAAATCTACACACTCAGAAATAATAAAATAAAATGTAGGAAGATACATACAGGTATTAATCTACTGGACCTACCCACTGATGAAAATGATGCGAAAAAGGACGCAAAGCAGACAAAGCTTCACATAAATACAAATCAACGGATGGGATTATCTTATGGGTCAACGTAATATCCTTTCATCTCTGAATTTTACAGTGCATAATGTCCGCTGCTGTCACTTTTGTTAATAGCTCTCAAATATGAGACATCAAATCAAACGCAAAAGGATATCAACAAATAAAATTCTATAAAATCACAGAAAACCAGTAGACACATAATGACATCGTGCGCACGACTCACCCAAACGTCGACGAGAACCTCTTGAGCTGGAGCACCAGTAACTTCGGAAGAGTCTCGTACCGCACAGAGCGCCGGGCCTCATTGTAGCGAAGACACTGCTCACACCAGTATTTGTTCAAGTCTCGTAAGTTCTCACTCGTCACAATCGCTGCCTGATACACCTCGCTGACACGCTGTGGGAGGTCACCTGAAACAGCGAGTGCCTCTACTTCAATTGCACTTTGGCCATTCTATGCATTTCAAAAGAAAAGCGTGGCTTACGGCATTACAACGTCCACGAGCTGCTGTGCCTCAGCTGGTCAAGAAATTCCCCCACTTTCATGGACCTCAAACATTATGAGCACCAAGTGAATTTTATTTTTGTTGGCACGTTTATTCTCACACAAGCGTGCATGAGCAGCAAATGTGGAAGAGACTGGGGAGCCTTTGTAATGCTGTTGTACTCCAAAAAGTATACCTTTCCAATCTTCTTAATTTATTTGTTATTAAGTTTCGGACTGCTATAAACAAATTTTAACGAAAGGTTGAGGAGTTAAAAGACCCAACACAGATACAGACAATCTCTTCATTGTTTCACACAAGTTAGCTCTCGTTACCTTCATCACTGTCCTGCTCTGCTGTCATGATCGGAACACAGATGTCACAGAAGGTCTCTTTCCGCTCTGTTGTGTGCTCACATTCCAGGCATGTTGTGCACAGGACTGTCACACCTTCAAAGTCGTTGGTCACAAAGTTATATCCTACCCCAGCCTTCTTTCCTGTACTCTTCTCTGGTTGCTGTGTCTCCGACTTGCAGCTGGTTGTGATATCTGCAGGACACGTCGAGTTTGATGAGGACTGTCCATTCTCTGAAATTCCTGCATCACACCCAAAGACATCACGTGTAAAGATAGTCCTTATCATTACATAAAGAATTTAACCCTTTTAATGCTACTTATGAGATGTTTCCTCACTAACCTGACGTTACTGCAGTGATCCAGTTACTTAAACAATCGATAAATTCCTTGCTTCTGTGAAATTAAGAAGTTTATAATTATGTTCACATGAACCAGTTGAACATTACACCCTAGTTCTTTTATATCAATTTAAATTCTTTCTGCAATTCACGCCTAGGTCTCCCAAGTGATTACTTTACTTCAGGTATTCCGACTAAAATTCTGTATGCATTTCTTATCTCCCCATGTCCTAAATGTCCACCCCCAACACAACTTCTATGGTTTGACAGTAATTATTATTACTAAATTACAAGGCTTTGGAATGTATTTAATAATTTTAAATCAAGTTTTCCTTTTTGCATTCCACACTAAAACAGATGCAGCTACCAGAGCAGACAATATATAAAATTAATCTATAATCTGAAAACCAAAATATTATGAATGATTTCAGCACTGACAGTACAACAAAATTCTATTGCCATTGCACTTCGAATGGTGTGGATACCCTATTAAACTGCTCTAATGTGGCAAAACATGTCTTTTCTCGCTCCAATGATGAGAGACGTTAAATACTATCAGTATTTAAACTGTGAGTCCTTTGCCCTTGCAATATGGAATTATTACATTTTTGGCTGCACCGTCTATCTTGATCATTCTGACCAGAATCCGCAATCGTATTACCTGCTCTCTTCATCACAGTCGGTCACTGCACACCCCTCGTACATCTCTCGGACAAAAATAAACTGCACCTGACTCGCAACCTGCCAGCACACAACTCATACTGAAATCCTGACTGACAATGAATTTAGTCAATTTTTGACTCCCCCCTTAACCAACTCGTTTGATTTCTTTTAGGGTCTGTTCCTCTGAGACTTCCTGACACAGCAACCGAGGGTGCTAGAAAAATCACAAGGTCTGCATGCACATATTGGCTATGTAACCATGGCCAACTGCAAAAAGCCACTGGTATTATATTAATTCCAATACACGACACTGTTCGTCGCTTTAACTCCCATTTAGACAATGCAACAAACACTGCTCTTACCAATGGCAGACAGACGAGTTCCAACACCCCCATTCATTAGGTGAGGATGTTCTGGTCCAATACCATTTGGGAGTCCATTGCTAGTAGCATTCTTCTGAGAAGAAGATGACACCTTCTTCCGTTTCCAAGACTTGCGAACACCCCATTTGCTGCTGTTTGATGATGATGTCTGATGAAGGTTCACCGTTGTCTCAAGCGGATCACATAACAGTGCACTGTTGGTCGCCATGTGCTGTTCATTGGCTAGCTTCTGCTGGTCAGCCAGGAAGCGACATGTCTCACGGATGTTGTCAAGAAGACACACCAGCAACTCGTGAGCGTCATGCTGTTGATTGCCCTCGAATATCGGATTCACCTCTCTGCAAGAGCACAGAAAAAAACACCTCGGTCAACATCGTCAATCCCACGCAGCAGTGTACACGAGGGCAGGCAAAAACTGCACGTACTCTTCACTTAAAACACGAGATGGAGGAGAGTGACTCTCACCTGAGAGCATGGAGGAATACATCTGGCTGGAAAGGATCACTGTTCTCCTTAATCTCTGCTGAATGCAGCGACTCATAAAGGTCATGCAGTCGCTCAGTAGCAACTTGTATCCTTGACTTGCACTGCAATGGGTCGCCCGAGTTCGCAAGGGACAGCAGATCCTTGCTGCTCCAGCTCTTACCACTACTGGTGCTCGTCACATTACGTCCCAGTGATGACGACTTTACCTGCAATAGAATTTTTACTGCTGATGCAGATGGAAGCATATGTTCCAGCCTACTTCATTTGTTTTACAAGGAGAGGAGGTATTTTTATACCATGATATCAATACAGGTATGTGTCCCATGCCAATGGATACGGACCGGAGAGCCATAAAAGAAGAAGAAGAATAACTAACCTAGAACAAGCCAAGTATTCAAACAGACTGACAGCAATGAATAGGAAACTACACACCACTCATGAGCTGAGAAATTACAATTACACACAAAGTATATTACGTCTCACGACTTTCAATAAATATGCCAGAGACTTACCTTAACTTGCTGTTGTTTTGAGGTCAGGTCACCCAAGTCAGCTGCTAGATGGTGCAAGTTGTGCAGAAAAGCTGGGGCAAATCGCAATGTGTATATAACACTGTTCAGGAAACATGTGTTACCAAGGTTACACAGAGTTGCTACAGGGGAGCAGCCCACCCCTGTATCACTGCCTGGACTGTCGTCTGTAGAACTCTTGTGACTGTCTCCTGCCAGATATCCGTTCAGCATGGCTGTACCTGTGACAACTATCCAACATACAACAAAAACAAGGATGTCACTAAAACAATCCTTTGATGGCAACATTAATCCAAGGCATTGGTACAACACTTCGCATGCAACAGGAAAACAGAATTTTCACCTACTGCATGTTACAGTTCCATTTACTTTGCTTCTTTCTACAGTTTTATATCACACTCGGTGGCTAAAAGGACTTGAACCAGGAATCACTATTAAAATATAAATTTCTACCTAAAAAGTATACATATATAGACGGAGGTAATATGACCTCCGAAACATTGGTTAACATCGACCAGACTACACAGCGCAACACCCAGAAGACAGAAATCTTCATCCTCATCGCCCTGATGATGGAGGTAATATGACCTCCGAAACATTGGTTAACATCGACCAGACTACACAGCGCAACACCCAGAAGACAGAAATCTTCATCCTCATCGCCCTGATGATGGAGGTAATATGACCTCCGAAACATTGGTTAACATCGACCAGACTACACAGCGCAACACCCAGAAGACAGAAATCTTCATCCTCATCGCCCTGATGATGGAGGTAATATGACCTCCGAAACATTGGTTAACATCGACCAGACTACACAGCGCAACACCCAGAAGACAGAAATCTTCATCCTCATCGCCCTGATGATGGAGGTAATATGACCTCCGAAACATTGGTTAACATCGACCAGACTACACAGCGCAACACCCAGAAGACAGAAATCTTCATCCTCATCGCCCTGATGATGGAGGTAATATGACCTCCGAAACATTGGTTAACATCGACCAGACTACACAGCGCAACACCCAGAAGACAGAAATCTTCATCCTCATCGCCCTGATGATGGAGGTAATATGACCTCCGAAACATTGGTTAACATCGACCAGACTACACAGCGCAACACCCAGAAGACAGAAATCTTCATCCTCATCGCCCTGATGATGGAGGTAATATGACCTCCGAAACATTGGTTAACATCGACCAGACTACACAGCGCAACACCCAGAAGACAGAAATCTTCATCCTCATCGCCCTGATGATGGAGGTAATATGACCTCCGAAACATTGGTTAACATCGACCAGACTACACAGCGCAACACCCAGAAGACAGAAATCTTCATCCTCATCGCCCTGATGATGGAGGTAATATGACCTCCGAAACATTGGTTAACATCGACCAGACTACACAGCGCAACACCCAGAAGACAGAAATCTTCATCCTCATCGCCCTGATGATGGAGGTAATATGACCTCCGAAACATTGGTTAACATCGACCAGACTACACAGCGCAACACCCAGAAGACAGAAATCTTCATCCTCATCGCCCTGATGATGGAGGTAATATGACCTCCGAAACATTGGTTAACATCGACCAGACTACACAGCGCAACACCCAGAAGACAGAAATCTTCATACTCATCGCTGTGAAAACCTCAAATCTTATATACATATATATTTTGCAAGAATCGGAGAAATTATTAATTTACTATTGAGAAACTAATTTTCTCTTTCCGTTTAGCAACTAAGTTAGTTATTTTGTTAAACTCTGTTACATTTTTAAAGAGTAAAAATGTTAGGGAAATAAATTAAACTGGTTTTTATGTTCTACGAAGACACACATATTGTTTAATTATCAATGCTAGGTGCAAATAATGAAATCTAGTTTTATACAGTGCAGTTAGGCCCACTGCTCCTCGAAATACCCGCTACTGTTTTATCAGTCCATTAACCAGAAAAAATTGAGAGCTACTTAAAGAATACGTCACTTAAGAAACCAGGAAATGTTATATTATTTGAACACACTGCCATCTGTGAACAAGAGTATGCAGAATAAAATGAATGCCAAATCTGTAAAGAAACAACCAATGTTCTGTGATTCTGCTGCTTAGTTACGCAAATAAACATTATAATACAGCACAAGATTTTGCATTTGGTTCTTTTCTTAACAGATATTCTTGTAAACCTTTCACAAATGTTGATAAGCAAAGTACGAAGGCAGAAACTGCTCTTAACCACACCCACATTTTCAAAATCATTCCTCTACAATTATTTAAACTGAATTACATTCTCAAAAAGATACATACAGAGATCAATTTTTAAACCTATTAAGCAGCTGTATGTTTATCTAGTGCAAGAGAAACCAATTAGCAGGAAGGGACAAGTTGTTTTGATAAGGATAAGAATCTAGGCAAATCTATATACGTGCCACATTGTGTAACATGCAGTACAAAGTTCTGGTTTGATACAGGTCTAAGCTATGTTTTTTCGCTATCAAGACTGGATAAGTGCACAAAACATCATAAATAATCATGATTCATTAACAGTATAATAAGAATATCAGGGCAGATTTAATACCTCTAAATGCACAATACAAAGACAGCACAAGGATACTGAGTGCGTGTTCCAGAACAGAACACACTTTCCGAGCACATTCCTTCAGGAGGACCCTGGTTCCAATATTCGATTGCAGTCTGAATATCCTGATTAGTTCCATGAAATTATGGAATAGCAGCTTAAAACAGACCATAACCTCACCCTTTTATATGCTTCTAAATTATATTTTATAATCATCCTGCCATTTAAAAAAACAACGCTTTCAGTGAAGTATTTATGAGTAAAATAAAAAGATACAATTTTAAAAATACAAGTCATGTACAGGGAAACTAAAAACTCACACAACTCATTCCTGACACAAACGTCAATTTCTAAAAATATATATACAATTACACTGCGATCAGAAAAAAAACAATGTTATATTAAGCGTTGGAACACCCACCGCATTCAGCGATGCAGGCAGTCACTCTCTGCCTTGTGTTGGACGCAACTCAGTGAACAGTTGGTGCGTCATTGGGAACAGTTCACCAGACGAGATATCGTCAATTTTTTTTGCACAGGAGAATGGGGAAAATGTATCAATAAACTCATTCATGCAAGTTGAATAAGAACGGGATGAGAAGTAGCGTCTGACAATGAATACTTATTGCACTTGTGAAAAATACATCCTTCCACATAAACTGATGACAGAAAAGTAACGGACTCTGTCAGATGCACACTCTACAGACTCACTGTCAAGTGCTAATTATTGCTGTGACTATGGATATTACTAAGCACAAGACATATCCTAGGTTAAGTATTGGTTTTGAAGAAAAATTAATTGCAGAAGTTGAAACAAACAAATTCCTTGGCTTACAAGTTGACAATACCTTAAATTGGAAGAAACACATTGAGTATATTACTCCCAAATTAAGCTCTGCATGCTTTGCCATGAGAACAGTCGTACCACTCATGACAATAGATACTTTAAAGCTAGTTTACTTTGCTTACTTCCACTCTGTAGTGTCATATGGATTAATCTTTTGGGGAAATTCAACAGATGGTAATAAAGATTTTTATATGCAAAAGAAAATAATTAGAATGGCCGGTGTCAAAAGCAGGGTTTCTTGTAGAAAGACATCGTGCAAATGTCACTCTTTCAAAACCAGAATTCTTAAAACCTTTGGAACATATGAATTATTTCATTTCAGGTGTAAAAAGTATTCCCACTTTCAAATTAGGCTAATTACTCAACAGCACTCAAAAGTAGACAAAGGTTTGGTAACACCTGTAATGGCATTTTCCATTATCAGGGTTCTTGTAGAATTATGGAAAAGATGTGTTTAAAATTCATTTCAACTTATTCAAGGTGTCACTTTAATTTAGGAAAAACAAAGAAATCAAACACCTGAAAAGGTCGAAAATGTAAATAAACAAGTTCAATAAAATATAAAATGAAATTTTTACCAGACAGCAAAGAACCCTCCTCAGAATTTTTCAGTGCAGCTGGAGCCTTCTCGCCCCTTCCAACGTCTGAGGATGAATTAGACTTTGTAGAAGATGTGCTCAACTTTGAATATTTATCTTTGAAATCGTTCCCAGCAGCGTTGTTGGGATTATTTTTGTTCACATGTGCTGCCTTGTTATGAGGTACTCCGACCAGCTTATTTCTTGCTGACAGAGAAAGGCAAAGTTTCTTTCGTGGTGGAGAGCTGCTAGACTCGCCCGCTGCATTCTCTTCCAAAAGAACTGTCATCTTTTCTATACCTAATATGGAAAATTATAAACAATGATAAGAACTATTACAAATATTGTAGCACTGATAGCAGGTCAGCCTGACCAAGGCCTTGCCCAAATCTGATCTCCTTAGGCAAGCCTACCATAAGAAACTAAGATAAGAAACAAAATGTTCACGTAAAATATGGGTTTTATACACTCACGTATAATTAGTGTAAGAATTCATGGAAGTCGGGTATTTTCTTAGAGTTCAAACCTAAATAACAGTCACTATTCTTCCATACCAAATCGTACCGGCCACACACTCATCTACTTGGCGTCCTCCATTTTAATTCTAACCGTAGCCTCCTAAACTCTTGAATACATCACTCTTAAATGCATGCCAGGCAATGTTAAAGTGAAAACACGGAAAAAACGGGGAATAGATGAGCTCCTGAATTGGCGGGAAGATTCATACAATATTTAAATTTATTGCTTTAAATTAAGTAAAAACTAGCTGTTTATAAAACATTTTCGCTGTGATCATATAAACTTCAAAGCTTTAGACTTTGCAGTTGAAAGGGTAAGGATGTGGATATGGATTAGTTTATTATATAAATCTAGTTTGTAGGTTAGGTATTACAGAATGTCTCGTTATATACAGTCCATATAATTATGTAGACTTTTTGTGTTATTTGAACAAAATCTCACCATTAAATATCTAGTTGGCTTGATTCCAGCTATTATCCAAAGCAATCCGGGACGTTAGTTTAATATTATTTATAGTTCTCTTGTGATTGAAAAGGTCAACAATGAAGATCTTATTTGCTATGGCAATTGATAAAAGTATCATATTTAACTTCAAACGTAATTATAACGTTAGGTTTTGTGTTTTCTAATAATGAATGCAGTATTTTCTTTAATGTGTTGGTAATTCGCCCATATTTAATGTGTGTGTGTCTCTCTCTCTATATTTATTTATTTATAATATATATATGATTAATACCATGGTAGATTTTATTAAAGTCTGTGAGATACGTTGCCAACTATACTGAACTTTTTGTGAATGATGACTGGAAAAATTTGCCTAAGTGATAATACATATTTTAATTCACAGTGTACTTATCTAACTATGGCATCTGGTAATTTCACCAACCTAAAAATGCAGGCCAAGTACATTGATGAGGCAATGTTAGAATTGAACAGGAAATTGGATTATCCTGGAAGCATTTTTCAGCCCAGCAGGGTTCTTCACACGGAAGAGACACTGGAGGAAATCATGACAGAAAATGAAAAAATTTTGGTAAGTGGATATCATGTTATATTAAAGTCTGTAGTCTGTCACGCATTATACCTTTGGAAACAATTTGTATGTCGAGTGATTACTCACTAACGCAGCAGTGATGATGATAATGACAACAAAAACAGCAGCAGCAACAATGATAATAACAGTAATAATAGTAGTAGTAATATTGTACGAGGGGCATATACAAATGATTTAGACTAACCTGAATTATGTGATCCTTGATGGTGGTGGCTCCCAGGTTACAATTTGGCCCGTTCCACATATTCTCCCTGGAGGTTGATGCACCGTTGCCATCTCTCTGGCAATTTCCGTATTGCCTCACAAAACCATTGTTTGGGGGTGTCTTGTACCCACTCCCTGACAGCATCATGTAAGGCGTCACTATCGGGGGATCAGTTCTGACACTCTTTGAATCATTTGCGGAGTTCTTGATGTTCTGGGACCACTGCTGGATCCCTTTTTCACTGTTTCATTGCCACATGCGAAGCCTGTCACCCAATTGAACACAGTTGCACGTGCAGTCATTGGGGTTCACCGTGCTCCCACACCCGCCCTATTCCCCCGACCTGGCACCAAGTGACTATGCCCTCTTCCGTGAGATGAAGAATCCCCTTACTTTATTTTGTTTTGTAGAACTTTATGGGACTTCTTATGTTTTTCTCTTACACTCCGGAATTAACACTGTTTTTTGGGGGGGGAGAGAGTTTTGTGCATTCTACCTCACCATGAAGATGGAGGTAATAGTTCCTCTGAAGAAATGTTGGTAATCATCTCTCAGACCACACAGTGACATGACCCAGAAGACCATGGCTGACTCAACTTGTAGTCTGTCATTCATTGGATGTCTATGAATTTTACCTCATGACTTGAATTCATCTGATGTACCTAGTACACTTTCTCTCTCAAATGGGATCCTCTGATTTTTTTAACACAGTATTCATAGAAAGATATGTAGCATTTTCTGTCTGCCCACCTGGAAATTTGAGGGATTGCCAATGGGGAGGTGGAGGGTCAGATGGACAGTTGGAGATAAAAGTCAGCCTGTACCATGGCAAACACAGGATGGGATAGATTCCGTGGCGAGAGCTATGTCTATTCCTTCAGGTAACAAAACAAAGGATTCCATGCCCGACTCAGGGAGAGAAACCATCTTACCTTTAGATGTTGTCAGAATGGTGCTCGATCATTCTGTCTCCTATTTAAATACCCTGAGATTAGAATTCACAAACTATAGTTTTACCTGCTGTTTTGTATTGTTGTGAAACATGGTCCCTTGACATGATGGAAAAGCATTGATGAAGTATAGCTGAAAATAATTTGAATCTGATAAGAGAAAACAAATAAATTGAAAATGGAGCAAGTTTACAGGAGCTTCTGAATATGTATTCTGTACACTGGGATGGTGATAATGCATTTGAATTCAGATCAGCAGGTACCCAGACAGAGACTGCCTGTCCAGGGAAATACTTGAAAACACCCACTGTCACTCGACACATTATTCAGTCATCTTTACTTCTTTGTAGTTTATTTGATGGTTAGACTATGTAGCAATGAATGATATGGTGATTAACGAAATGAAAATTGAAATTATACTGAAGGGACCAAGCATAGCTTAATTAAAGGTTTTGTTCCAGCATTTTCCTGGAGGGACTGAGCGTAACTATGAAAAACCTAAAACCTAAGATAAACCTAGGCTAAGATGTGAACCCAAGACCCCTCAGTTATGAGTAGGAGTGCTAACCACTTGGCTGTGATGATCAGTTTTATGCTGTATAACCAAAATAGCTGATGTGGTGTAATTAGTTAACCAGAAAACTAGCCTTTTGAAGGTAGAGCCATAAATGTAATATAAAGTGATCTCATTCAGCTGATTTCATTTTTCTCTTTATTATCAATTTTCAGCAAAGTATTGATGAAGAAAAGGAGATAGCTGAGCATAACATCCAACAGCTGGATAAATTTCTGATTGAAATGAATAAGGATATTCTGTGTATTATTAATGAGCAGAGAAATATAGAAGAACAGCTGAAGCAGTATGGATACAGTCCGATGCCAGAAACTCCTAACACTTCACATGAGGAGGACAGAGATAATGGCGCTACAGTGGATGAATGCAATGACAGTGATGCGATATCTTGTGAAAAACAATTGGAGGGGCTTTCACTTGGCTAAAATGCCGGATATTAATACCTGCAATATGACACAGTTTTTCTCAAAATACTACTATCAGGCTCTTGGGTTGCCGGTACTGAATAGTGCTGTGAAAGAAACCTGCACATAGCATGAAGGAAGGGCTCGTAGATGTTGCTGATTTCCGTAATGTTTTTGATTAACTGAATTCATTTGCAAACCTAAGGTAGTGTTACGTGTTTATGATGACCTATAATATCCAACACTTTTCATTTTATTTGTAAGTTTTTATCATTTTAAAACAGTTGGACGCAAAGTAGCGAAAAACATTTTTTATAAATATGATTATAACTTTGTAGGATTTGAGATCTTCACGGCGGCGAGTTTGAGGACAGCCATCTTCATGATTACAACTTCTTGGTCATTGTTTATCATAGCCTTTTTTTAATACAACATTTTGGAAACTGGCTCTGTCTCTATAATCTAGTAACAGAGAAGGAAGTTTTTTTTACTCAGGTAGACTCCTTTAATGTAAGCAATCTCGATCCTTGAGTAACAAAGTACGTCTAGGTAGCGCATTTATACTGCTAACGTCACATCTTATCAACAAGAGACGATAAAGAACTTCATAAAAATGTACGCTGAACTCTGAAGACCAAGGGAATAAATTATCTCTGCTTGTAAGTATAACATTTGTTATTCATCAATAAAGCCTGATGGCACGAGACAATCCTGCCACGTGTATTTCTCATTCTTCATCAAAATACATTGTGCCCACCAGTTCAATATCAATGAAAAACATAATTTTCTGGGTAAAAACAGTAGCACGAGCCATTCGCTGGACTGCTATAGTATCATCTGTTACACTTGATTCTGGACATGTCTCTTCTTCTTCTTTTGTTTTTTTATTATAAAATTATAATTATACTCTTTCTTTTACCAAAACTAACATTGCTGGTTTTACTAAAGCTGACATCATAGATAATTATACACTTTTACAGTCACCTTTTAAGTTTTATTATTTGTCGAGCAAGCCTAAAATTGTCTTATATTGAGTAATGTGGCATCACACACCCTTCCACCAAGCCACAATCATATTCTACTGATCTCAAAGCAAAATAGGAAGCAATAAACAATACATTACATCACTTTTTAAAAAATCAATTTACATAAATATGCTATTTTATACTCGACTGAACAACATTATTTACAACATCTACAGTCAGTCATCAGGATTCTTGATATGGACTGAGCTACAGATAATGATACTTTGAATAAGACTGTAGCCACTCGCTGACATCGTCATAGCTCTCGGCCATCCACCGCACGTTGGCCCGGACTACCTCGATGGCCTGCTCAAAGCTTTGGGTTGTTGTTCCAAGTTGATTTACATTCTCGTCTCGCAGCTTCTCAAGCTGGTAACCACAAATGCATTAAAGTAAGCCATCCATTTTGCTCTTATGTTCGTGGGAGTGCCATTGCTTTCAATACTGGTGACATGCAGTGTTACAGAAATGCCAATAATTATCAAGCAAAGTTCAAAGAAAGGAAAAGCACTTTCATCATGTATGGGTATCCATCTTTCCATTCATATGTAACATCTAAACTGAGATATATTTTAATGGAATCTCGTATTTAAAATCCTTACTGCGGTTACAAGACTGACATGGGGATTAAACTGCCAACTCCATGCAGAAAAAACCTAGAGTATTAAATTTAACTTTGGTCTAAGTCGTCTCTCACATCTCTCTCTCTCTCTCTCATGCACATGTGCATGCGTGCAAACACACACACACCAATATTCTGTAATAAATAATTTCACAAATGACAAGTGCTTCACACTTAAGAACACAGTAATAAAATTTTCGGTTACAAGAAAGGATGAGAATTTGTTCTCAGATGAGTGACTACCATCTTTTCAAAAAGGATACTGCTACATGAAGTTGGAAGAACCTACTTTTTGTTTATATTGAGTTATTTCGATTTTTTCCCCACGTTTTAATTCATAATTCTTTGAATTTAACCCAATACTGCATTGGAAACTATGGATAACAAATTGTGAAGCTTAAAATAAAATTTAGCCCTTAAATTCACTAAACATGTAATGACAGCAAATATGAACAAGCAAAGGGATTCTACTTTGTGAGGTTATGTTCAGGGGTGCAGGGTGTACAAAAAGTGGAATAAGAATGAGGGAGTTCAGAGTACAGGTTTATGGATACTGTACCTGTGACAGTTGGAGAGGGGTATTCATGTACATTGCAACAGCAGACACCATCCTTGAAATGCTGGAGAAAGCAACACCGTAGCTGAAACAGAGAAGCACTTCATAATATTCTGCTTTATTATGTCATCTTTGGTGATTTTTATTTGCTTTCCAAAATTGCTTACATTCATTTTCGAAAGTCCATTTAAGTCGGTGGTTTTTATTATGTAAAACTTATGTGTAAGCTGTTCTCTCACATACATATTTGATGTTCACAAACTGACAATTTTAAAAATAAATGAATAACCAAAGGCTCACTCACTAGCTCTGTATGGTGTCCCAGTTGTCCCGCAGAAAGCTAAATGCTAGTGAATGTCCCACAACATTGTTCGCCACAGCTACAAATACACGCGCACCATCTTGCTTCCGAATCCCTGAACTGTTTGAGGTGATCCAACTCAGGTACCTGTAGCAAGACAAGCAAGTTGAAAAGTTACAAGATGTAGACTTTCCACTGACTAATCACTGGAACTTGACTCACTTACCGAATGCTGCATTTGTAGTATGTTGTCTAAACTGCACTGCTCGTTCAGAAATGTTAAAATGGTCATAACATATCTGGCGACAGTTACGACACTCCACACATTACAAAATCACCTGCTATTACAGAATCTAAAGACATCATCAAGTTTACTAAAGCCCGCAACTGGATCCTATCCTGAGCCAGGTGAATCCAGTTCATATCTTCACAACTATTTTCTGTATTATCCAGTTTCATATAGTCTTCCATCTAGGTTTAGGTCTCACAAGTGTCCCTTCCCCAGAAGTTCTGAAGGCAATGTATCGTATCATTTCCCCCCAGCATGTGCTACATGTACAATCTGTCACAACCTTCTTCATTTAATCATTCTAATAACATTAGGTAAAGAGTTAAAATTATTGTTACTTCATATCATAGCTAAATAATTATTAATCCTTAATTGTCATGTAGAATAATGATACTAAAATGTGAAAGCTATAATTATACGCAATGGGATAGTGTTCATTTATTATTCTTATAGAAACACAAGTCAACTACAATTTTCAAGTAATATGAATCGAAAGACAAGTGTTTGCCATTGTCGAGGAACTTTGTAATAAAGTTACTTCTTAAAATTAACACCTGTCAGACATCATCCATCAAGATTCATGCACTCTATTCATAACATTCTTCAGCACAAAAACAAGACCAGTGATATGACATTCATTTCTTCAGAAATTACTGCTTGACAGCCAATGAAGACTTCAAGGACTCTGTATAAACACTGAATAATTTCCTGCTATGGCAACATTTCTTGGCCAGTCCATATGCACAATCTGAGAGCTTGTGATTTATTTTTATGGGGCTACTTCAAAAACAAAGTGTTTCAGACACGTCCGGCAGTGTTCATTTCATTCAACAGATACACTGTAGCATAAATAGTTCATATGATAACTGATAGATGTCAGCAATAGTAATGGCACCTTGGCAGATGAACCTCCCAACTCATGAATTTGACCATCCATCATGTTGGTATTACTGACTGTAGGAAAATAGAAGAATGAGTTTTGGAATGCCTTCTAATGGCATAATCTCCATATCATGAAAATCTAATCAGTCCCTTTTGTGTTTTTATATGGCAAAATGTAGTTTATCGGATCACTGACACACAGCATCATGCTACGTACTGAGAGACTGACTACATTGTTTCATTCATTCATATTTAGAGTAAGCAGCGACTTTCTCTGGCATTAGACCTAAATGATATAACACCGATACTCTGTTAATCTGCTGATCATAACAGACCATTCCCCCAGTATAAATGTACTGTTACAAAGTTGGTCAAGACAAAAAATTATTAGACTTCAAATGTCCTCTTTCTTCATGTACAATATCAAGACATGTTTCAAATGTTGTAGAAATTCATAGAGAAGATATATTATGTTCTGTAACCATTCATTTATGGTAAGTTTCTGACAAAGTTTTCCGGCAAATTATCTCACCTGTTGAGAAGCCATGGCTCTCTAGTGCAGCCCAGAGCTTCCAACAAATGCTCCTTGTCAGAACCAACATTGGACGACAGATACTTCTCCCATGCAAACTTCCACACATCTGCTCCACCATGCTTTACTGCTGTACAGTATACCACTTCTTTCTGGTTTGGAGATATCCTATGGATATCAAGATTAGTTCATATTACAACACCAGAGTCCTGTGAGATGAATTCTTAACTGACATTGCATGAACTGCATGAGCTGAATGTGGCCACATGTGGCTCAGAGCAAGCTAGTGTGAACTTTTTCCCTTCCTTACCTAAAGCAAACCACTTTTTCAAAAGAAACTAACAACCATGCAATGTCATTACTACTCTTGATTCATTTTCTAGAGGTCCTAGGTTCAAATCTTGGCCCACAAACAGGTCATTGATACCAACGTCTTTCTTCAGTTTCCTCAGTCCCTTTAGACCAGTGCTGGGATAATACCTCAAAAGGGACCATGTCCTTCCACATCCTTTACAATTCATCATTCACATTCTGCCTACCATTTGAAGGTACATAACCACTGCAGTTAGAGAAACCAAAAGTTAATCAGTCACTAAATCCTTTCTTTTGAGAAAATATTTCCCTATTATCAATTTTGACATTATCCTTTCATCTCATCATCTCAATTTTCAAAATGGATGCCACACTGAATTTTGTGTGCCTTCTTATTTTTCCCAATTTATTTTGTCCTAACCATCCTGTGTTCTTATGACATTTCACTCTGACCAAACTATTCCATCTCTATGAAGTCCAAACATTTTTATAAACTCTGTTTTCAGATATTTGTAACTTAAGTCTTTTCCCACAGTAAAAGTACAGTTTTAACAACCATACAAATTAATGGACAAAAGAATTGTTTTATAAATTTTCCTAATTTTGCACACTTATATGACATTGCTGTCCGAGGACTGGTCAGACTTCCTGCACCGCTTACCGGCAGTGATAATGAGTCTGAAGCATTGGTGGAATAACTGGTAAAGGAAAACCAAAAAGTACTTCGAGGAACCTGTCTCAGCATCCAACAGTTCCTCACAACATTTAGGAAAGCCATAACATGCTTGGTTACCAGTTGGCCTTCAGACACTATTTATACATTTAAATATTTTTATTTTGCTCCAAAATCTCTCAAATTATCCCTCATAACATTCTGGTGGATCATAACCAACCATTTCAAAATCACAGCTCTAGAGTATAAGACAGAAGAACAGTAGCAGATGCGTAACTTACAGGCCAGTTTCCCACACCCCTTCAAGTTCGTGTGACATCCACTGACGATATTTGTTCTTGGCGTGCCAAACACAGAACTCATGGTCCAGCCTGCAGGCCCAGGACATCACCATCACCCTGTTCAGCAAGTCTAGGTGGGTGTCCCCTTTCCTGTCTTCAAACTGCAGACTGTTATAAACCTTGTCCAGCAGTTGCAGTACTATACGCTGAAACACAACGTGTAGTAAAATGCAACGCTTCAATTAAGCTTCCTGCATTTGTAACTATGCAACAAGGACACCTGTTAAATGATTAACTCATCAGTGTCAGCACAATTAACATGATCATTTAATCATTTAATGTATTAAAGGATCAAGTCACTGTGTAAGTTAATACTTTAAATTCTTCCAGGAAAAAAGTTGTCTCATGTGGGAAAAATGTAACCCCTTAAAGATTACAGTCATGCTTGCATGACAAACAGGGCACTGGAGGAACCTACTACAGATATATAAATTTTATTTCATTATCACATAAAAATGTATGAACATAAACAACAACTTATTAGTAATGTGTAGGCTTCTGAAATCATTTGGTAATAATTATATGTTACTGGTCTTGTAATGTTACTTACAAGGCCATACATTTTTTTTTAAAAGAACAAATTACATGTTCATATTATGGCTTTCCAACCAAGTATCGTATCTTACTTCCAAGGCAGTATAGGTTTCTCCAAAAATGCTGCAAAAAAAAAAAATGGTCGTCTTCCGAGTTGCAGCACCATGCAATCTGGTAGAATTTTACCAACATTTTAGGTTAGGTTGTTGCTGCCTCCATCATCAGTCTGATGAGTAAGCCATGTGTGAGGAATCGGCTTGAGATATAGGAACCAATCAGTCAAAACAGCCATGGCCAGACCAGTGGGGAGTAGGGTCAGGATCGGGTGAGTGACTGGAGCCAACAGGAGAGAGAGAGAGGGGAAGGAACAAGCAAGAAGAAGAATCTGAAAAAGCAGCCTTTATAAGGGCCCCATGAGGACCAGAGGGTGGATCACTAGACATACGGGAGGCAGGTGGACATGATGAGAAGGGCAAGAAATGCAGGATATACGTGGGGAGAAATGGACAAAATAATACGAGATCGGAGATTGGAAATAAGGACTTGCTGGGGTTGAGTGGTGTCCTGAATATGACGGTGTAGTGGCCAGGGCAGAACTGGTGTATTGGATGTTGTGAAGGAATCCCAGTAGGAGAAGGCAAGAAAAGGACGCATGCTGGGAAAACCTTGGATTAGAGGCAAGAACTTTAGAAACTGTATGTCTTCGTTAGATGAGATTAGTAAAGGCACTAAGAACATTTAAAAAAAATTCCCAATATAACATAAAAGGCTTAAAAAATAATTAAATGGACAACCTGTATATTTCAGAACTTTCTATCAGCAGCAACCATCGTATTTGTATACGAATAGTTTCAGCTCACTAATTATACACTTGGTAAGTATATTACGAGTAATGGAAATTGATTTTACTGAAACCAAAGTTTCATGTGCATTTCCATTAGTGTCCACTTATTTGTTCAATGACTCTGATACAAGATTGCATCACAAGCATGACAATGGAACCCTCAGTTTGTTTCAAAGAAAATGACAGTTCTTAGCCAAAACCAAAACTGAAATATGAATAAACGCCAATGTCACATACCTTGAAGTTGCCATACGCTGGAGTGAGTGCCAGCATCGTGTCCAGATGCTCCAGGGCGGTGAACGCTGCAGACCATGGGAGGTACTCCACATCTGTAATGAGCTGAGAGGTAAGGTCCAAAGCGATGCTGTACTCTAACCGACCCGAAAGTGCCAGGTTAAGTGCATCGTCCAAGAGCTGTGCTTTCGTCACATCTGGCAGGTGCTGGAAGCTGGATATCAGTAGCCTCCAATTGGTGTGGTCATAGTTAACACGATAGAAACCTGTTTGTACACACAACAGAGTAGAAGGGAAGCCGCAGTCTGTCATGCGACATAAACCTATTTTAATGTAAGTAGTACGAGCAGGCCAAACAAGACTCACACCAGCTGTTACTATGAGCATCTCAAACTGGACTCTCCTTCTAGAGATGGGTGGAAAATATGAAAATTATGACAGTGCAAACTTTTGAGCTTAAAATATCCCAAGAGCAAAAATTACGCTTCATTAGGCTATAAATTTCTATCCCTTTAAGGAAGATGATGTGTTATTATCATGCCCTTAAGAGTGAGACCAAGTTTGATACAAACAGAACAACACATAAAATTGCAGTAATGTATGTATTAATCTTTAAACATCAGGGAGGAGACAAATGGTAATGAGCATCCCCAAAATTTAATGTGCCTCTAACTTTGTCATTCCCAAATATTCTGTCTTTGATACACTTTCAAACAATTTTATTAGTTATCTTTATACTGCATTATATTTTGTAACACACAAGAATGTTTCATACAAAATATGTAGCCATGTTTATGACCTACAATCACAGCAAAATTCACACCTAATTTCTGAGCACGTCTAACTCACTAAACATCACATCTGAGTGATTATCATCTCTGTTTCTAATTCAGGATGTCCTGAGTTTGATTACTGACCTGAGGTTTATCATGTCTTATAATAATAATAATAATGAATAATTAGAAACAAAATAGGCCAAAACCATCTCCTTCCAAGTGACGATCCTCCAACCGAATCCAATTTTATTTATCACTGCAGTTGAAACATTGTCACCAAATGACCTATGAATCAACTGTCTTAAAACAGGCCAAGACCACTTCATCTCACTTTTTTTTTAATTAGCCTTTCATAGCTATGCTCAAGTTGATGCTGTAGAATCACAAGCTTGAGAAAGGACCGTTACACAAATTAAGAACAGAAATAAACCTGTCTCCTGGATGTTGAACAGCACCCAGCTTCTGCTGTCTGGCAAGTTCTCCACCACTGCAGACACCACATTCTCAAGCCAGAGCTGAGGTCGAGTCGTGTTGAAGTCTGGTTTCTCCTGCTTAGTGAATGTAAGTGGCACCCACCATGTAGCATTACTAATAGTATTGGAGTCCTTGTATGACAACAGGAACCGTTCCTATGAACCAGTGAAATAACTTATGAGAATTTCCTCTGTCCTCATTGTAACAAAGTCCATGGAAATGTTTCAAGTCCACACCTTATATCATTTAGCTCTGCATTGTGATACCAAGCTGATCATCCATTAAAGGATTTCTACCAAATGTCTGAAAGGATTCATAGTTTTAGAAGACACGAAGGCAGTCATTCTTCCTTTTAAGATCCTATACTCTAATGTATTTATACAGATTTTACAGAGCCATAAGACAAATCATGATACACAGTCGACATCACGTGCCACCTGAACAGAAAAAAGCGAAAGCGTTTTCATCTGAAATTGAATTAAAAGTCAAAAAGTGTTATTTAGGTTCATTTTGATGTAGTTCAAGCCTAAAGATGGAGGCAGAATATTCCTCCAAACTTACTCGTCTGCTCGCCTGTTCACCGACTGATATACCCACCCATTCAATTGCCTGCTAACTGCTTATAACTTGCTCACTTCTTTACTCATTTGCTCTAACAACCATCCATTTGCCACTCGTCCACTAACCTAACCTAACCTAACCTAAGCTACCCTAACCTAACCTAACCTAACCTAAGCTACCCTAACCTAACCTAACCTAACCTAAGCTACCCTAACCTAACCTAACCTAACCTAAGCTACCCTAACCTAACCTAACCTAACCTAAGCTACCCTAACCTAACCTAACCTAACCTAAGCTACCCTAACCTAACCTAACCTAACCTAAGCTACCCTAACCTAACCTAACCTAACCTAAGCTACCCTAACCTAACCTAACCTAACCTAAGCTACCCTAACCTAACCTAACCTAACCTAAGCTACCCTAACCTAACCTAACCTGTGAGATATATGCAGAGCCATTCTTGTAGTTCCTGGTGACGGTGACCACTGGGTATCCTGTCTGCAAGGTCCATGTGTCCATTATCTCCTTCACCGTCATGTGTAAAGGAAGAGAACCGTCTTGGTGAGCTTGCAATGTCAGCTGTTGCCATAGATCATCCTGACGAGCACTGCTAAACTTGTGGGCTTGTAGGTAGTTAGTAAGTCCCCGCTTGAAGGTTTTCTCTCCGAGGAAGTGGTTCATCATTCGAATAACTGATGCACCTATTGTGCCAAACATTTCCTTCAGATTACAATTTTTTCCAGAAACTATCGTTTTAGTTTCAGTAACACGTGAATATTCACATTTCCTCCTACAGTAGCCAGATCATCAGTGCAACCTTCATTCACTGTCACAGATGACTAAACAAGCAAAGAGGTAACTGATGCAATGATCACATGATACGAAGAACACACAGTGGCAATAACCTATGTCAGTTTATTTATTTATGGTTCGCTTAACAACATTGTCAGCAGCATCAGATGACAGGGTGATTAATCAAAAAAAGGAATAAAGAAGGAAGAACTCATGGCCTAATCTAAACTATCCCAGCCCCTTGAGGGACTGAGGAAAACCAGGAAAAGTCTCAGTCAGGATAGCCAGGCTCTGGGCCTCCCCAAATATGAAGTAGGAGTACTAACCACTCAGCTGTAGTGTTCAGTACGTATGACAAGGTAATATCTAAGTCTGTCCTTAAAGTGTTGAGAAAAACTATCAAGAAACTCAGTCATAACGGCACCAGCCGAGATTCACAGAGGATACTTTGAAGTATACATATATTGTATTTTCACTGAATTAACATACGCCATCTTTGCTGTATTTCTCATCCACCTATAATATAGCTGTCTGTATGTTTGAACAAGCACATAATTTTTCTATTTCTTTAAAAATATTTCATTTAAAAAACTACTGGATAAAAGAATGTTTCAGACAAAATTCTTATAAGACAATGAAGTTAAATCCTGATATGATTATGTGCATTCCTTCGATGCAATGAGCCAAAACATCCTTCCTCATACACTTTCAGATTCTCTCAATAAACATAACATAACATAAAAGTGTGTGTCAAATTTATACATCAGTACTCCTCTCCAGAAATCAGTGCTACAAACTGCTCATATGTACAAATTAAACATACCTTTACAGTACGACACTCTGTCAAAAATCTCTCGTATCTGGTCCGTATGCTCAACAGGCACCGAAATTGGGTGTGATGATTCCAGAGCATCCAGCATGAACACTTCCTGCAAGTGATCTCTGATGAACTGATCTTTGTTCTTCCAGCTCGGTTCCACCTGCAAGTTCCCCACGTCACAATGGTTATGACAGTTCTTGCTTATCCCACGTATAGGACAGCTCTCATTTTTTAGAAACTGAAAACTGCGCATGTTTTCAGGGGTTTATCAGGAACAGTATATAATTTTTATATATAAATACATAACATTCTTATCACAGAGAAATATAATACAAATGAAATCAATTCTCTTGTGTATTAATGAAATAGATTGCTGATGGCCTCATTCTATGCTAATCAAATCATTGTAAACTTTCACAAAAAAAAAACAATTCTTCCTACCTCCTCTCTCCACCATTCCTTGTGGTTGTCTATTTTGTACCATCACAACACACATCATCATTTCTATCAGCTTTACAATAAAAGGTGTGAGATATAAAGGAACATAACCGACCTCTTTATGTATGTCAGAGATAAAGTCATTGTGAACTCACGTGATGCAATCCTTGGTAGCCAATGAATGTGGCAAAGCCCTCTTTAAGCCACAAATCATTCCACCACCACGGTGTGACGAGGTTTCCAAACCACTGGTGGGCCAATTCGTGGCTCACCACCTCAGCCACTCGCTCTTTGTTCACTTCTGTAGAAATGTTAGCATCAAACAGCAAAGCTGATTCCCTGTAAACGCGATGTGAGGAAGAGTGCAACATCAGCTTCGCAAATAGGTTTTCTACAAATACTTTCTTAACTGTACTCTACTGGATAGCACTCTCGTCATCTGTTCCCCCCAATTCCCACCTACCACTTGATCTAACCTAACCTACCACCCCAAAAAACACTCAACCCGAAGGCGACAACTGCAGTGTTTGCCAAAAACATTTGTCACAGCCTATCTCCAAAAGCCAATGTTACGCATTCTTAGTGGACATTCATTACAAGGGAATTAAACATAATAAATAGGGAGCACTGCCAGAGAGCAACACTAAAGTTACAGGAGGAAACGCTTGGGAAACGTGTACTGATTCTGGTTGAGCATTAAAATTGTATTAAATTATGTAACTGTCTAGTTAATACGGCTGAACGGGTGAACTGGTTGGAGAACGGAGCACCATAGTAACTTGGTATTCTGTATAACGCAACCCTGTCTCTTGCTCCTCAACAAGAAGCAATCAGAGTATAGTAATAGTAAATTTAAACTAAACTGCGTACAGGAGAGTCCTCCTTGAGAAACTTACGTATAGTTGGTCAACTGTTCAAGAAATTCCCCTCTTTATGTGGAACCTGAAGGTTCATTAACTTGTCCATAAGATCCCACAACTGGAATCTATCATGAGTCGCTGGATCTAATTCACATCATCACACCCTGTTTAATATTTATTTAAATATTATTCTCCTGTCTGTTCTTTGGTGTCACAAGTGGTCTCCGTCTCAAGTCAAGTGACCGCAATAGGAATGACTAGAAAAGTGAAGGAAGGAAACATTACCAGAATTCAGACTTACTATTTCCTTGTTAATTTAATACTGCTTCACCAACTGCAGAGGCTACGTGAAATTAAACAAGACGATGATTATGAATGAGGAACCGGTAAGGATATGAAGTGGTCTTTCCATATTTTAAGGTAATATTCCAGCATTTGCCTGGAACAACTGAGGAAAACCAAAATAAAGGTCAGTCATAAAGCCTGTCTCTGGTCCAAGGTTTAAAAGTGAGAGTTTCTGAAAAAGTCAAACAGATGTATCACGACACGAAAGTTACCTAAAAGTGATAAGACCCCAGTTCTCCATTGCACTAAAACCAAAGTCAGGGAGGGCCACCATGTCCTGTTTTGGCAGTGGAAACGGTATGTTGAAGTACGTCTCCAGGTAATGCAGAATTTTCGGACCAATGCTGGCTGCGTAACTTGTCTGGGGCAGTGCAAACTCACGGGACCACACCGTGAACCTATAACAGAAAGAAACAGCACCTCCTGTGTAGAACGTATTACAGTTTTAGAGGATTAGTGCATAAGAAAGTTTCTTCAAACTCGAAGGATCACAGTTCTTTTTGATTCAGGACAGTTTGTATTCTAAGTACCCAGAGGCAAGTTTCGAAATGACATTTCGTTAGGTTCTGTATTTTTGCTAGCTCAAGTATTTTGCATTTGGAAAAACATTATTGATAAACAGAACTGAAATGCACAAATTCGTGCTCAACGCTCAGTTACCACGATGCCATAACAACCAGTCTCCTGAACTCTGACGGCATTCCAATAATTGAAATATATACCTCAGACTAGAAAATAATTCATCTACATTTCCGTGTTAAATCTGACCTGAAGCTGTCCTCGGAGAGATTCATCATGGTTGCATCCAGAGAGTGAAGATCAGAAATGATGAAAGCAACGAGATACGTGGACATGGGAACAGTCTCCTGATAATGGTCCCACTCCCAGCCTGGAATTTCAGACCTACCACACAATCAAACCATCAGCAATAGCTTTACCAGATTACTTCACATTCAGGAAAGTGTATTTCTTTCTAGTGCAGATTTAATTTGACAAGTTGTTTTTGTCAGAAGAGGTTTCTACACATTTATTTTAAATCTATAAAAATATTAAAATTAAATATGAGAACAACAGACATTGAAAACCAGATGGCATTGTTCATGTTGATTACAGCTGTGAAAACTAAACAAATAATAATTTGGACAAAAGATAGATTGAATCAGCTGAAGAGAAACTCCTAATATGAGTGGCCAGATTAACCGTCATAGATTTTAAGAAAAACACGGAACCATTTAAATATCTATAATCTGAATAAGAAAACGGAAAGCATTCAATAATGTATATTGCTTCAAATGCTCTTGGATAGAACACAATATCAGAAGCAGTTCGAAAGATACATAAACATCAATACTAATACCATTTATAATAAAGGATTACAAACTGAGAAAGAACATGGTGACTGCGAGGTTTGAAAAGAGCATAGATACAAACATCTCAATAAAAGTTAATGACACGTTGGTTATAGGGGTGGCCAACTTTATAATTAAGGGGGAAAAAACACATGTAGAAATGATTAATTAAACTTAAAATTGTTTTAAAATTCATCAAATTATTAAAGAAATAATCTGGAACAGAGATGTCTAAAAATAATACAAAATAACAATTTATGAATTTTGTTTATTCTGAATAAAGATGACGAATGTACGAAACAGACAACGAATCACTTGCACTGAAAATCTGCAAATATAAAATACTCACTGGGGATATTGCTTTTGACTTGTGTGTTAAATAACTCGTCAACGTTCTTGAATGTTTGTATATTTTAAACTAATTTAATTTTAACACCAAATAATGGACTCTTAAGCACAAAAATTAAAGGAAAGCTATGCAAAGTATAAGAAATGATAGAATTATAAATAAAATATTTAGAAGAACATGCTAGAACCCAAAATTTGTTAAAATAATTAGAAGATAAATGAATACAGAATATAGCACATAACCCTCTTCCTCTCATAGACAAACACGCCCTACCAAATGCTGCATGATTGTCTAATTTGGACTGAATTACTGGACAATCAGCCACTGCGTTGCTTGTAACAGTAACTTGCAGGTATCCAAGGTATAATCTACTCCATTCTTTCTGACTGTCTATGATAGAGTCTCTAGATACTCACATGGGTTCTGTAAACCTGAGAGGCATGTTGGAAAGTGACGACAAGTTGGCAGATCGAGCGAGGCTGACCGTGAAGCGGGCTTTGAATGCCGGCTCATCAAAACAAGGGAATGCTCGACGAGCATCTGTTGGAGAGAACTGGGTGCTGGCTAACCACCTGCAAAAGTGTTACACAGATGTCAGCGGCTGACTAGTACCAACACTCAGTTAAGAATCCTCCTCTCTCTATTGAATCATTGGACTGAAACAATACAAGATCATTTCTAGGATGTTATTTCTCCGTTTATAAAAAGGAGTAATTTCCAGATGTGTCGAGGAAAATATCTCTACTTATGGTTCTACAAGCAGATGTCACTCGGGAGACCTAGGTGTAGATGGGAGGATAATATAAAAAAAACAGTGTGTGAGGAATTTGACTACATTCAATAGTCTTAGAAGACGATACAGTGACAGTTTCTTGTGAACTTAATTGAAATTCATGTTCAATTAAATCCTTTGCTCTTTATCCTGATATATCATACATTGGTTGTTGATTCTCGAAAAAATAAATATTAACCCGAGTTAATTTGGGACAATATTTTTCTTCTCTCACAAACTGAGTTCATTTGGGTCATGAATAAAATATGTATATCAGACTCTAATCATCAGTAAATGACAGACTACTGTACTTTCGGAAGCCAAAGGAATTTATATACAGGTGTACATAAAATATTGTCAAAAAATTAAACAGCAGTAACTCACAAATTATGATAATAATAATAATGTAAAATATATAATATATATAGTCATGCCTGACAATAAATCTATATAATACATGTAACACGTATTAAAAATAAAATGTATTTCAGAAATAGCCACTGCACTACGTACCTCAGGGGCAAGGTTTGTCTCAGGTACATAGAAGTAAATATCCCGCAAAATGGTGAACAGATGGAATAATAATAATAACAATAATGACATTTTTTCACATAGAGTTAAATCCAGAATCATAAAAATGTGCACATACTCACCGTTTCTGCCCTGTTCCAGGATCAATGTAACTGCTCCTATAGAAACCTTGTAGAAGATCATTGATCTGTCCAAGGAATTTGATGTACAACTCATACTGTACACCAGGCATCAGATGCTGGTCCAAGATTGCACTGTATGTCTGTGCATCTGTATTGTACACATGTTCGATCACCTGAAACATTGCCACTACTGAAATATCAGTTACTGAGTTTCAAAATTAGAACAGAGTATGCGAAAAGTGACGTGCAGGAAAACCGTCATGACACACCAGAATGTCATTCAACAAATTCTGAATCAGGTGCTTTGTTACACTAAATAACAGGAATGTAGTTACTTCATTTTATCTTCAATTTTAATTTTAGAACTCAGATTTTATAAGCAGCACCCACAGAAGGTAAAGTGGAAGTTATGCATTCAGAGAAAAGGCATCAAAATTAATCCTGTAGACTGAAAAATATTAAAAACTAAATGGCTGCATCAAACTCTGGCCACCTTAATCCTGGCACTCAAAAGATACAAAGGAGATCATCTCAGTCCCAATCTTAACCTAATTAATTAATTCCAATTTATTGAGAAACAGACAGTAGCACATGTGGTTAAGAAATTATCCACATTTTATAAAACATGAATGTTCATCACAAGAGCTCACTACTTGCCCCTATCCTGAGCCATATAATCCACAATATACCATTGCACACATAACAGCTTTATCAACAATTTTAATAATATCCTCCCATCTGTACCAGGCTCTCGCAACTGCTCCATTCCCTTCAGTTTTCCTGACAACAAGCATTTGCCATCAACCCGCATTATTCAATGACCCTTATAACTCTGGAACTGTGGAGTCATGCAGATACTGTTGGAATCTTGTTCTGCGTGTACAGACCTGAACATTGATGATCTCCTTCGGATGCAGCTGCGTGACTTTAACAGCTCCTTCGTTCACCTCGATGTCATTGATGTTAAGGGTGATGTTTTGTGCTGCCTCGAGGCACTTCAGTCTGATCCACACCTCACCTGACACTGTGAAGTTGTCCTCCACGATGAAAGGTACCAACTGGATCCTGCGTGTTCAGTCACACGATTACGGAACTGGTAGAAACTGTGGAACAACTTAACCCTGGTCTTCTCCATATGATGTCTGCTTACACAGCTCAGCACACAAAACTTTGTGAGCTATGTTTCCCCACGCTCTTGGAATAAGTTTCTATTTGATCGTGCCCAGTCCCATTAACTTTTTCTAGTTACAGGAATGTGAAGTTAACAGATGCAGTTCAATCTTTACGACCAGAGGTTTGCTACACAGGGCTCAGTGGGGCTTGCATGAGCCCTTTGTTATTGGCAGTCCCGCACCATAGCCATGCGGTCTGAGGCATCATGCTTCGGACCGGTGATACGGAATGCGCGCTGGTTTGAGTCTCGGGGGAGAAGAAATTTTCTCATGAGCTTTCGACCAGTGTATGGGACCGGTGCCAACCCAGCATCGTGAGGAAATTGGGGAGCTACAATGAGTAGCGTAAAACTAGCAATGGCTGGGGGTTTGTTGTGCTCACCACATGTCACCCTATATCTGATTGGACGATCGTTCACCTCTGCTTAGGCATGTGAACGTGAAGCCAGCAGTCAAGTTAGTCGGCTTTGGCTCTCTGGAGCTGTTATGCCATGGAATATTATTATTTGTTATTGGCATAGAAAATATTGGATTGCAGAACCAAAATATTGATACACATACATGCATATATCAATACATCTTGTTCATTCCTATTTCCAAACAATAAAAAAAAAATGTAGCTCTCCAGAGGGAGCTACTTGTTAACACCCTCCCCCCTGATTGTAACGATTTAAAAAATAAGTATGCACACCTAAAATTCATTTTTATGCAGTTTTAAATACAAAAGGCAAAATTAATTTCTTGAAGAAAATTTTAGATGTAAGTCATATTTTTAAACTATCTCTGGAATTTTTGTGGGAGAGGAAACACTATTTTCAAATTTAATCTGTAAGGCAGAAATAATGAGTCAAAAGATGTTCGGTGTGACATTCCTAAAATTAATTCTAAAAATATAAAGTTATCGAAGAATATCATCATCTTCCAACAATTTAATTGGTTAAAACCAATAGAATTCTGGTGCTAACAAGAAATTTAAGGAAGGTGTCATGTATAATTTCAAATCTGTGTGGTCTTTTTTTTTTATCAGTTGTGAAGTTTGTGACACTTTTAACAACACTTTACAATAAAACCACCTTTACAAGGGCAGTTTACAAACATTGCACTGTCACTACTTCAAATTAGGTAGCGTGGAGTCTAAAGTCTATAGCAGTCGTAGCACATTACAATAGACTGCTTATCAGTGGAAAATGCTGTCATGTGATTCATTGGCAAAACAGAGCAACTGGTAATGTGCCTGGCAAACACGGCCAATGTTGTTTCAAAGTTGGCAGCACTGAGCAGTAATTGCAAGGATCAAGTACCAGCTCTCGCACAGTAAGTAATGGGGGAAAAAAATAGAATAGACTATGAAACAAGTAAAACAATGTCAGTTCTCTTACAGATTCAATACAGATCTTCCTTTTAATCCACTCGTCGTGCTAAAATGATTGAAATTGAATTAATACTATCACTGCAAGATCGGTTTTTACCTCCACAGACTACTACAGGCCTAAGACGAGTAATTTGACCTCTGACCTGTAGTGAGTGGGTATGACATGGGTCGGCAAGCGGTTGCTGCTGAGGGCCTTGTGGCTGGGCGGAGTCACATGGTTCCCAGTTCCAAGGGGTCGGAGGTTCATGTCCGCTGCCTCCAGCTGAGAGGAGACGTAGCGAGGCAAACAGTAAAACACCACCAACCCCGTGACCACGTGAGTGCAGACACAGACGAACGCGATGAACACAGCTACGTTCCGACTTATGAAGTAACCTTTCCGGCCGCGCCATTTGCCGTGGTCCACAAAGTTGGCTGCCTGGAGATCAGTGATAGCTGCAAGCGCCATCGCACGTATTAACATTTCACTCACTGAATGTTTAATAATTTGTATGATTCTCTAAAGATGGCGACAGTGGTTGACACATTACATTAATGTTATGTTGGGCATTGTCTATTGACTGTACTCCCGTCTTCAGGTGATTGTTTGTCTTTGTACTGATCGAACACCGGGCTAGATAATACTGTAACCAATCCTTAATCGGAGTAATATTCGTTGTTGTGAATATCTAGTAAGTTATACGGGGCGTTAATTATAACACTTATTAGCCGAAGTGTATATTTCAAACTTCTGTTTGACGAAGTTCTCGCTATTAACTAATGCATGATTCAAACAAGATGGCGGGTGAAAGCTCCAATAGGATAATGTTGCCAGATCTTACGTATGAACTTGAATATCCGAAGACGGATACCGGCTTCAGACTTGACAACCCCGTTCTATGCTCACTTATAACAAACACCTTCAGACTAAGTCTAAAAAGATGAACGAAAATTGTCTTAAGCTGATTCGGTTGCTGACAACACGAGACAGTGTTTGTCAATGTTTAAATGTTACTTTCTCTACAGATTTTTTTTTATATATATATATATTTTCCCCAGTCGTGTAAACAGGAAAGATGTGTCTGGAACAGATTCTAGTTTGGTTAGTTACGCGATTGACAGACAATCTTCTCGTCTTACATTGGACAGATAAACAGTCTTGACGTAAAGATGCCCGTAGTTTACTGAAGTCATTCTCTGTTGCACGTGTCGAAATGATGCCATTCTAACTCCAAGCCCAGTTTCCTGCTATTAAGTCAAGAGTTCGTACCGAGTTCCTGCCCCTCACTTCCTTTCAATCACGTCTGCTGTAAAGGATCGACGTAAATCTCAAGCTGTCAGCAACGCACGGAGCTAGGGAAAGTCGTACAGAAGAAAGAAGGAAAAGACACTTTTCCTTGTTCAGAAACTTCGTCCGAGACTTACGAGGCTTTTTTTTATTTAGTGTTCTGTCTGACGACAGGTCCATATGAACAGGATCCTTCCATCCTTTTCTCTTCTCGGACTGGGACCTGTTCATATACGTTCTTGGCAGATGATCCAGAAGTGGTTTGCCATTGCCTTCTTCTGGGTGTGAATGGAGTAATTGTTGGGATGCCACAGAGAAACCGGGGAAGCCCCCGGAGGAAAACCCCGTGTTGCCTAGACCACGATCTTGCCCAACACAAGTTATAAATTCCGGCACCGCCGGGAATCGAACCCGAGAATGAGCAGGATCCTTCCATCCTTTTCTCGGTCTGGGACCTGTTCATATACGTTCTTTGCAGATGATCCAGAAGTGGTTTGCCCTTGCCTTCTTCTGTGTGTGAATGGAGTAATTGTTGGGATGCCACGGAGAAACTGGGGAAGCCCCCGGAGGAAATCTCCGTGTTGCCTAGACCACGGCCTTGCCCAACACAAGTTATAAATTCGAACCCGAGACCCCAGGATTACAAGGCCAGCGTTCTAACCGCTAGACCACCGTGGCTATACGAGGTGGTACGCCTTTGAAATGACACAGCTTTCGCCTAAAACAAGGCCTGGCTGGATGGAACCGGCTAAAGATGCTTTATATTTCATCGCTTCCAGTGTGTGTGGACCACCACTGAACAACAGGGACACAAAAAAGACTTTTTACCTTTGATCTTCGAGAGGTCGGGTTCGAGTCCTAACGAGCAAATTTCGTGTAGCTCCTAAACCAAGCGCAAAAGATAAACGGCAAAGCTAAGCCAAACGTCAGATCCTTTCTTCTGGCTTTTTTTTTATTAAAATCCGCCGCACTGAAATGATCAGAATGCTCCAAGCTCCTGTTAACATCTCTCTGCATCGCACATCTACCTCGTGACACATGAAAGTCAGTTCACCGCATGGAACATTCTTCGTTTTCCTTACACTCAGCTGCCAGGACCAAGAAACGTGATAGCCACTCGTTCTACATTATTTACCAGCTGGCCTTGTAATCCTGGGGTCTCGGGTTCGAATTTATAACTTGTGTTGGGCAAGGCCGTGGTCTAGGCAACACGGAGTTTTCCTCCGTGGCATCCCAACAATTACTCCATTCACACACAGAAGAAGGCAATGGCAAACCACTTCTGGATCATCTGCCAAGAACGTATATGAACAGGTCCCAGTCCGAGAAAAGGATGGAAGGATCCTGTTCATATGGACCTGTCGTCAGACAGAACACTAAATAAATAATAGCATTGTAATCGCTTTATGCATTAACTATTCCCATGCAACGAACCACCTAGTTCGCGTAACGTCGATCACCTTGCAAAGACAAGAACGAGAAAAATGCGGACGAGAATAGGATTTGCTAACTTCGTTTTCGACAGACGACACTAATGAAAGGTGTCTCAAGAACACAGCTTGGGGGAGTCGACTTGTTCATGTCGTAAGTCGGGTATAATTATGCGGGACTCTTTTCCCCGTCTCCTTCTGCCTCAAAGCGGCTCTGACGTGTTGAGAACCTTCGACAACTGGCCGACTTCCATCAGTGATTTGGCCGGAACGAATGCGTGCCGTTAGCCCCCGTGACTCGGTGTTGTGGAGATCTCAGACTGGAATCTTGACAATGAGACGAATCATTCCTTATTTGTAATCGGCTCTGTTCGATTTCCTGACCAAAGGCCACGAAACTTTCGTTCCTAATTAGCTTTTCAAACACAGACATCGTTCATCATCCGATGTTGTGCGGTCTCTCCAGAGAGCGTTGGTTCGAATCTCGGTCGGACTAGCGCCTATCCTGACTGGGGATTTAGCGACACGTAAGTGTCACGTCTACGCCCACCATCAACGCCATTAGAACCACTTCTAGATGTCATCAGTGTTACAACCTAAGCAGCCTGAAATATCGTCTTTAAATGGCCTAATAATTAGTAAATTAAAGGACGAAATCCTTCAATAAAGTTAAAAAGAAACGAGGAAGGCTTAAGGACAAATGGCAGGACTGCAGACGTCTATAAAACTTCTCTGAGATGCCTGAAAGTGAATTAAAAATGTCTGAAAATATTTTCTTTATTAAAAGATTTAACGACGTAACTCAGAAATTCTGAGCATTTGTTTTTTTTCCCTGATCCACATGCTTTGTCTTCCAAGGAAATGAAGTCTGTCTAAAATCTCTTAACGTCTAATAAGTTGTAATAATAACTAAAATGTGTGGGCCAGTAGCGGACCGCGGACCACACGTTGATAAACCTGATGGTACGACGCTGTCGGTACCAGCAGAAGAGTCCGGTTGCGAAACCGAATTGGAATCTGCGTTTCCGTGATCGAATTTTAATCTGGCCCGGAATTAAATCTTACTGGCAGAGGAACGTGGCCTGACCGTCGAAACGCTGGGAGCTGAAAACACGGCCGATGGCTAGAACTGAATCAACTGCTTCTGTCACTCGGGAAGAATATTTTCACCAAGGCAGTTCCGTGATTTTATTAAGTTACTCCAGGGAAAGAAGTGAATACAGCCTTAAAATTGGTCACGGCCGTCTCTTACTGTTCATAATTCAAATCCACCGAAAAAAATAATTAACCCAAACGAAGCTGTGAATTATTAATTATTTTTTGTTGTAGTTCAACTGTGTGTAAAGTTGACATATTTAGTAAACATTTGGTTACGTTTAAGCATATTAAAGTTTCTGTTTTTGTTTTATTACTCTTTATTTATCAGTTTCCTTTCCACAGTACAGTCATTTAATCTTTGTTATGAGTTTTTTATTTTAATTTTCCTGCTAAACACAAAAATAAAGAATTGTTTTTTTGGCTCACTGTGCCGAACTCGGCAAATAAAAACGATTTGTGCAGTCGAACAGTGTCACAGGCACAATATTTAACTACTGGCCTCAAAATATCTTCATTATTTCCTAGCCAGCGTAGACGCGAGGTGAATATCTTTGA